ACTTCTGTCAGACAGTGTTTGTGGCCGGCGTTCTCTGCTCAGGAATCCGCTCCCCTGAACAGGGCCGCAGGCTGTTTAGTTGAAGTTATTTCCCCAGGCTTCTTGGTAGGAACTTAAATACTTCATGGTTTTCAAAACATATCCTTTAAAAAAAATCTGTAACCGAGGGCACGCTTATTGATTTTAGAGGGAGGGGAAGGGAGGAAGAAAGGGAGAGAAACATTGGTTGGTTGCCTTTCATAGGCGCCCTGACCTGGTACTGAACCCGCAACCCAGGCAGGTGCCCCAGCTGGGAACTGAACCCTCAACTTTTTGTTGTATGGGACGATGTTCAGACCCACTGAGCCACCCCCGCCAGGGCTGATCTTTCCTGTGGCTGGCATGGCCTTGAGAAGTAAGGTTATATCTACCAGGAGTAACCCAGTAAAATCAATGCCAAGTCCAGATCTTGTCCATGAGGTTTTTCGGTGTGATGGGTTCTGGGCATGTCCACTATGGACAAGAAGGGGGAAAGGACAGTTAGACACCACTGAGCTGTGCCGGAGGGCTTTAAAAGTGTCCTTTTTCTTTGTTGTCACTCAGCATCTGGGACAGCCCTGAACTCTGAGAGCTCCCTCCTGAGCCGCAGGCAGGGCTCCCCCTGCAGGCCGGGCCTGGGAAGGCCCTGTGGGCAGTGAGTGTGCTGCAGGTCCCGCGAATGGATCAGGGCCTTGCTCCCTGCAGGGCCATGAAGGCGGCTTGATGCTTGTGAGTGTGTCCCCACTTGGGACACTGTGGCTGGTCAACCCCAACCAAGCAGAGAAGGAGGGAGTGGACACATGAAGCCTCATCTGAGAGACTTAATCACTGTAGCAAGTGACTGCCGGTGGGTGCCCAGTCTTAAAGATGACTGACGTTTTGCCCCTGGGATTGGAAGAATGCAAATGCCACTAACAGCTTTGGCTGGTGTGGCTCAGTGGACTGAGCATCAGCCTCTGAGCGGAAAGTTCTCTGGTTCCATTCCCAGTCAGGTCACAGGCCTGGGTTGTGGGCCGGGTCCCCAGTAGGGGGCGCCAGACGGGCAACCACACATTAATGTTTTTCTCTTTCTCCCTCCCTCTCCTCTCTCTAAAAAAAAAAAAGAATAAATAAAATAAAATAAATGCCACTAACGGAGATTGGGAAATGCGGCGTAAGGGATTGGTGGAGGCAGCAGGACGGTAGTTGAGCATGGAGGTGAGAGCTGGGCAAGCTGTGCGCAGGAGATGATGGCCAGGTGGTCTGGCCCTGCAGAGGGCCGGGGCGTGGAGGTACTGAAGTCACCGTATTCGGAGGTGATCAGTCACTTCCTGTGGTCCCAGTGCAGAGAGGGTGTGAGGAGCAGTGGGGCCGAGGAAGGGATTGTGGTGGGGGAGGGGTCGCTAGTCTAAAAAGGAGGAGGAGGAATAGAACGTTGCCGAGGAACCTGGGAAGCCTTTCAGAGAGGAGGAGGGAGTCAGCACAGCCCAGTGTATTAAAAGCTTAATTGCTAGTCAGAGAAACCAACTCTGCTAATTTGAGGAGAAAAGATGTACTTAAAAGCCACTCAGTGGCTTTCAGAATCTCTGGAAGGAAGGGCTAAGCCAGCAGGCTTGCAGCTCTGAGGGGAAGAGACCAACAGAGACCACTTCTCCTCGGGGGACATGGTAGCTTGTGTTTCTGACACTGTTGGTGCGGGGATGCCGCCTGGTCTCTAACCACTGGGCCTGTGCTGTTCCGGGAACTCTGTCTTGAACTTGGCACTTCAGCCAAGGAGAGATCCTCTGTTCCCCCATCTAGGCACCGTAGACCCTGATTCTAAGAGGTTAGGTTTCCTGCCCGTGCTCTAGTTGCAAGGGAGGCTGGGAAAAATCTACACCATTTTTAGCTTTTACCCTGGGAGGAGGATTCATAAAAAGGACCGAGTGGATCAGGGCTTCTTGAGTATGTTTGTGTTTGGAGATGGGACGACAGAAGGGGACAGAGAGAGACGCCAGCGCAGTCCAGAGGCCGGCAGAGAGGCGGTGGCTGATGGTGGGCTCATGGCGTGGGAGGAATCAGGAGACTCAGGGGCCAGTGCATGGCTGGGAAAGAACACGTTCTTGGAGATTCCTCACCTTGACTCTTCCTTCTGAGAACATGTTATGGCTCCTCGAGGGAGTTATAGCACCAGAGGCTTCGGGAAGGAAGCTCTGGGCAGCAGGGGGGCAGGAATTCAGCTGTGTACCCCTGAAAGTGACCACAGCCTGAGGCACTCACCTCGGTGACAGGGCCTGCCAGGCGCAGTCCCTAGCAGGTTTTCTTACGTTGCATCTATGTGCCTCTGTAGCTGAGATCTATTTCCTGTGCCCTTGCAGGAGGCCACCATCAGACCTTCCCTTCCATTGGCCTCCCAGTCTCTCCCCCACGGCGAGGACCTCCCTTGGGCTGCCTCTACCGAAGTCCAGGGGGGCAGGAGGCCCTTGAGCCTGGCTCCTGGGGTCCCTTTGGTGCTTGTCCATTTCACCCTGCTTCTTCTGTGATCCATCTCTAAAGTTTCCCTCTTGCTTAAGAAACTAGTTCCAAGTCCCTAACAACTCGCCAGTTACATCTTGTCATCTCTGCTCCTTGGTCCTGACTCCACGTGCAGAACAAGCTGACACTGTCACTCACACTGGCCGTCTTTTAGTGCTACAAGAACAGAGGATTCTCTAGGGAGATGGTTTACCTCCCCTGCTATAGACTACTTTGGTAGATGCAGGCTATGATTGTACTGGGTTTCCTGACAGCTATACCTCACTGTGATGGACTATTTCTCAGAGGGCTTTTTTCTCCTCCCATAAGCTCTGTCAAATCACGTCTTTCTCATCCTGTTCTTAATTTACACAAATGTATAGATGGGCACCTGTTTCATCTGCCTGCTCCTTCTGGGAAGCCACGCCTTCCCTGTTCTCTGTGATTCTCAGGGGGCTGTCAATCTCAGCCTCCTAACCTATCCCCACCTACAGGGGTGGGCATGTGACTCAGGTTTAACCAATCATATCACTTCCCTACCCCTGACGACAGCTAAGCATTTGACTGAAGGCTCTGTCTCTATCATTGGAATACCTCGAGGCTTCTTTTGCTGGTGCTCCTCAGGGAAGACAAAATAAGCTTGGAGCTCCAATGGGCGTTTTCCACAGCTGTGTGGAACGAGTCCTTCAGCAGTGGGAGAAGAGGCCATCCCCCACGAGGAAAGCGGAGCTCAAAGACAGAAGGAAGAAAGCAGAGTCTCAATGACATTGACTGGATCCCAGGGTCTAGCTCAGCCACAGCCAATAAATATCCTTTCTGTCTAACTTGCTCGAATTGGGTCTATGTCACTTCCAAGTGGATGAGCTCTAATAATAGCACTTTAAAAATAATAGCAGTTCGTAATTGTGCAAGGAAAAGTAAAACAAATCTTCCCTGATCCCATTTTTAATTATATAAAAAATAGTATCATACCTTATATATTGAATACTTGTGTGTGTGTGGTGCTGAGGTTGTAAAATATGGCCGCATGTTCCTCCATCCAGCACGCACGTCCCTTTGCAATGGAGGTTGCCGTTGCCCCTCCTGTGGAGAGGTGGAATTGATCTCTCTCACACCGAGTCTGGGCTGGCCTGGTGACTTAAGCATTTGAGCACTAGAGTGCAGTGGGAAGAGACGTCTGTGACCTTCAGAGGCCTTCCAGCTGCTGTCATTCCCTCTCAAGAGGGCAGGCCAGCGAAGACACCAGGCTAGTTTCCTGGAGGATAAGGCTGCAGAGAGGACAGCAGGACAGCCCAGCCCATGGCCAGCCACTGCCGGGCCTGTGAGTAGGCCCTCGAACCTTCCAGCCCAGCTCTCCTTCTAGTCAAATGGAAGTGTGAATGAATCTACACCAGCAGAGGAGCTGCCTGGTTAATCTATGGAATCGTGAGAAATAATAACTTTTAATTGTCTTAAACCATTAAGTTTGGGGGTAGTAAATTATGCAGCCAAAGCTAATGCAAACAGATTGTGTTCTTCTGCATTTTTTCTCACATCATTAATACTTACACATCATTAAGGTCCTCTGAGTTGCAACCATCAGCAACGAACCCTGGGGCAGGCGAAACCAAAGGAAATGCATGAGAAAACCAAAGGAAATGCATGAGAAAGTTCGAGTGGGGTTTACCTTGGGAGGGGAGAAGTCAGGGCCACTGTGGGAATGTCAACAATCCAGTGCTAACGACTTCTGGACTACTAACGTCAAGTTCCCAGAAGAGTCTAACCCGTTCGGCCGGGCAGCGTCCACCCTCTGGATTATTGAGCTGTGAGGAGGGGCAGGGACAAGACTCGGAACAGAAAATAGTTGGTGAAGTCGTGGCTAAGAGAGGTGGCTCTCTCTTCAACGGGTAACACGTTTTGGTTTTCCAAACTTCTTTTCTTTCAAATCTTTTTGTAATTAATCTATGAAGGCACCTGTTAAAAAGGGGGAAAAATCTGTGTGAGGCCACTTTAGAAACTGTAACAACCCCGGCAACTTTGCATACTTCTGCACGAGGCAACTGAATGTCAAGGTTACATCTGTAAATGGGTCTCTGAGAGAGAGTGGTGTGGCAGCTTTAGTAGTTTAAAAATGTGTGAGATGTAGACAAGAAAGGAGTTGTACTAAAACATAAGAACAGTTAAAACCAGAGTAACAGGTGTGAACAGAAAGGAAGGAAGCAAGAGGCAACGTGTGGACGTAGGGTTGTTTCTGGGAAAGTCGACCAGCGCGGATGTGTCTGGAAGGGGACGCAGTGTCACTAGCCGGTTCAGTGCACCGGGTATCAACCCCGGACCCTAAGTAACGCCTCCTGCAGTGGCGGGTGCCTAGGACAGCGCCTGATGGACGTGGGGGCGTTGGCGCCTCGCACGGGCGCACGGTGACCTGGGCCTGGTCCCTGGGGCTGGCCCACCCGCCCGCATCCTCCCGCCCCGCGCTCAGCACTGAAGCAGCCGCCCCCACTGCGCCGGGCCCGGGAGCGCGCGGGGGAGGCGTCTGCTCCGGGAATTGAGGCGGCGTCTTCGCCAGCGGGCTGCCGCAGGAACGCGGGCCGCTGCGCCGGCTGCGACATCTTGCTCAGGCGGAAAGCGCGGGGGACAGCAGGCCGCCCCGGGCTGCAGCGCCAGGCGCGCAGAGGACCGGCCCGCGCGGTAGGAAGGAGGTAAGCCCCTCCCCGGAGGCCGCTCAGAGGACTCGGAGACCACTCCATTCCCCGTTCCGACCCCGCTCCCGCATCCCAGGGCTCCTCGGCCTCCCTCTATCCGCTCGTTCCCGGCCTCCCGCGGCCTTGTGGCCCGGCCCGCAGCTTCTGACTTCCAAGCTCCGGAGCCGCCATCGAGATGAGCCCCCTCCCCGCAGCCCAGGGGTTCGCCCTTCTCCTCCAAACTGCCCGCCTAGCACACCGCCCAGGATCTCCGGGCCGGGTCGCTGGGTGAGACGCCTCGCGGACTGGGCCCCGGGGCCCCGCCCTTCCCCGAGACTGGCTGCCCGCTCCCCGGCCCCTCCCGCGCCGCTCCGCCCCGCCCCTCCCGGCGCCTCGCCCCGCCCTCCGCGCCCCGCCCCGCCCCCTCCGCCCCTCGCCCCGCCCCCTCCCTGCGCTCCGCCCCCGCCTGCCTCGCCCGGGCGGGGCCCCGGTTTAAATGTCGCGGCGGGCCCGGCGGTCGGAGGGGCGAGGCGGGCCTCTGTGTCGTGTCCCCGTCCCGTAGGTGGCGGCGGCGGCGCCGAGTGGCGGGCACTGGGGCCGGCGGGCGGCACCATGTCCCCGGGCAGCGGGGTGAAGAGCGAGTACATGAAGCGGTACCGGGAGCCGCGCTGGGACGAGTACGCGGCGTGCTACCGCGAGCTGCTGCACTACCGCCTGGGCCGCCGGCTGCTGGAGCAGGCGCACGCGCCCTGGCTCTGGGACGACTGGGGCCCGGCCGGCAACTCGGACGACTCGGCGTCGTCGGGCGCCGGGAGCCCCACGCCCCAGTGCGCCCGGGCCTCGCCGCCACCGCTCGCTGAGGCCGCGGCGCGGGAGGGGCCGGCCGCCGAGGCCGCGAAGGCCGGGGACGCGGAGGCCGGAGACGCGGAGGCCCGGGACGCCGAGGTCCGAGACGCGGAGGCCCGGGACGCGGAGGCCACGTCTGCGCCAGGTACCGGGCTCGGGAGGGGGTGCTCGCAGGCCTGGATGCGCTCTTGGCCTCTGAACTGCGCCGCTCTGTCCGTTTCTTGCAGCGCTCTGCTTTTCTTTTTTTTTTTTGAATAGAGAATCTCCCCTCCCCCCCCCCGCCCCCCGACAAAATAAGGAAGATGTCAACCCGCCAACGTTACCCGCCCCCCTCCTTTATTTCCCTAATCAGGTGACTTGAGCCGGCCGCGAACTCAATTGAAGTGCCCTTGGCGAGGTCCGGGTCTTCACGCGAGGGCCGAGGTGGCCTTAGGGAGCCAGTGAACCCCATCTGTTTATTCCTAAGCGCCCACTTTTTAATGAGGAGCCCAGCTTTCATCAGATTCTCAAAGGTGACCCCAAGAGGTTAAGAACCACCGAGCTAAGCTTTCTGTCTTGTGAATGGGGCTGTTGTTTTCTGTGTGAACTCCTGGGCCCAGCCGCGCTGTCCCTGAGAGCATTTTGCATTTGTTTACGCAGACCGTTGCGTAACTCCGGGTGGGTGGGAGCATGTGCCTCGCCGGTGCTGGGTCCCCTCCGCTTCGTGCGCACCCACTCACCGAAGGTGCGCATCCTCCGGCTGCCGCCGCGTGCCGAGGGAGCCGTGGCTGGGAATTCGGCTCTTGGATGCTGCGCGCGTGCCGTTTCAGCGCTGACGCTGCACCTCCTTTCCCGCGCAGAGGGTGGCAGAGTTGGGGGCTCTCAGCATGTGAGGCCGGGTGGATGCTCGCTGGTGCAGGGGGCCAAATTGAAAGCCTCGGACGCAGTTACCAGTGCCTCCTTCCTGCCACCCTCCAACGTTGGCCAGGCACCACCAGAGAGGGTCACTCGATTTTATAAAGAGGCTCTAGTGAGAAAAATAACTAAATTTACTGAGAGCATGTTACATGCCCACTGATCTTAGAATATGAATTTTCTCAGTCAAGATTCAAAACAATTCTAAGAGGTAGAACCATGATTTTTATCTCGATTTGATAGATGAAGATGTGGAAGCGCAGGATAAACGATGTGACTTTTTGTTTATTTACTAGACTGTAAGTGGTAATCAAGTCAGGCTCCACAGGGAGGCTGAGGAGGGGAGGAAATTCGTCCCTGAGCTGGGCTACTTTGCTGTTGTTATTACTGCCCTCGGTGCATGTGGCCGAGTTGCCTCGCCATCCTCGTGTTACCCGTGAACCCCCACAGACTCCTGACTCCCTGTTACAGAAGGTAGATAACGACTAGCTTCAGCGATCAGTGCTGGAAATTTGGCTAACGGAAGGGGTAGGGGACACTTTATTCCCGTGGGCGCTGATCTCTCAAACTGTCAGTTATGTTCCTGAGTATAAAAGCACAATTTTTAGACATCATTGTCATTTGGATGGTGACTGTGTTGTTGCCTGAGTTCATGATTAGTATGGTTTCCTTAGAGACTGAATCCTGCCAATGGCTAAGGTCAGTTATTTCTTTTTCCCTAATATCTCTGGTTTAAGCATCAGGGAGAAGGTGGGACGATTTCTGCTCTCAGGACTGCCATGCGCAGGGTCTTTTGCTTTGGTCCTGCCTGTCTCAGCCTCTCCTGATGCCTGTGTCTGGTGCGATTGAAAACCCTTGATTTTAAGTGGGTGGCTTTATACACTAGAATGATGAGCACTCTTGAGTTTTTATAAAATGTAAACATTTAGTTCTTATTTTTACTGAAGCCATATAGACACATAGAATCATATAGTTCTTTTTTTAATTTTTATTTATTGATTATGGTTTGTTTTAGAGAGAGGAAGGGAGCAGGGGAGAGAGAGAGAAACATCAATTTGTTGTTCCACTTATTTATGCGTCCATTGGTTGATTCTTGTCTGTGCAACCTCAAGTTTCTGGATGATGCTCTAACCCAGTGATCCCTGACCTTTTTGGCACCAGTGACTGGTTTCATCAGCTGGTGGGGAGGGGAGGATGGGAGGCAGAGCTCAGTTCCTAACAAGCCATGGTCCTGGGCCTAGGGGTTGGGGAACCACTGCTCTAACCAACCAGCCGAGCTATCTAGCCAGTGCCAAATCGTATAGTTCTATCTGGCTCATTACAAAGATAGAGCAGGTCCCTACCAAACACACATACCAGTAGTCATTCCTTGGGTACCACTTCCTGTGCCTCTGGTTTTCCCTTTGGTGTTTATTTCTATCTTTCAAGGTAACATTGCTGTCATCGACAGGTCTTGACATTTAAAGTTTTTAACATGACCTGTTGGCTCTCTCTTTTTTATCCTCTGCCCTAACCCATGCACACCCATGCACACCCATGCCACACCCTCTGGGGTGCAGGATAGGCACGGGGGAGTGTGTTAGCTCCACAGGTGGCGTCTGCAGTATTGCACCTGTGCTCAAACCTGTCCCACCTACCTTGTTTGCTGCGATTCCCTTTTCTTTATTTCACAATCCAACCCGCACATCAGGTTCACTATCACTCTGGACATCTGAAGACATCTCTCCCAGGGCCTCTGACCTACTTCTTTTGGCCTGGCGGCTGTTCTTAGCGGCTGCTGCATGGTTGAATCTTGGGAGGGCCCTTGGCCACCGCCCTGGGACTCCGTGGCTTCTTTCTTGGGTAGGAGCCTCTGTTGTGTGGATGTCACATCATCTCTCTCTGTTTACCGCCTCCTGGTGGGGCTTATCATCAGTCGCTTCCCGAGAAAGGGTGTGTGAGAGGTTAATTTTCTGAGATAAAGAAAGATAGCTGTGTGAAAAGATAGCTTTATTCTACCCGCCCAATTCAGTGAGTCTGTGGCTGGGCAGGGAATTCTAGGTGGGAAGCAATTGTCTCTCAAAATCTGGAGGTGCGAGGGTGTGCCTTGTCTCTGCCCCGTGCTGTCTGTGACCTCAGCTGGGAGGCTCTAGGGTTGGTGGCTATCTGCTAGGACACATGGCGTGTGACATCTTCTTGTGCCTGGCCTTCCTCCTAACATGCTGGCTGGCCTCCAAGAAAAAGTGACCCTGAGAGAGAGCTGGGCAGGTGCTGTATTGTTCTTTACAGCTTAGGACTGCACGTAACACCTCTTTGACCCTGGGTTCAAGGGGAAGAAGCATCGGCCCCAATTCTCAACGTGGGCGTGTTTCTATGATGTTGTCAGAGCATCTGGGCAGGGCGCCGATGGATGCTGGACCTATGGAAAGGGCAAGCCAGCACCCTAGCCTGCTGGGGAGTCTGCCGCCTCAGGTGCCCGTTCTGTCTGGGGGTCAGCTCTTGTCCTGTGGGCCCTTCTCCTGCAGGGAGGTAGGGGGCGTGCTGCCACCAGGCCACTTGTGCCTCTCCAGCTACACTCCATCTTCCAGGGTTTTACTGACACCATCGGTCTGAGGTCATCGCCTTCCTAGTTCTTGTGGGTTCATACCTGTTGCCTTCACTCTGGTGAGGTTTTGGGAGGAAGGGACTACACGCATATGTGAGTGCACATTTAACCTGAATTCCCCGCTTGTTCTCTTTTCACTTTTTATTTTGTACTTCCTTCTCTCCTGGTCAGCAGCACCAGAGGCATATGAATTCTATCAGCCTTTTGCCCAGCCGACTCTTGGCTACGGCTGCGTGGGTTTTCTTCATTGCGTGTGTGTTACATGCTGACTCCGGCGGCCCCGGGAATGAGTGGCATCTGCACTGCCCGGCCGCGGTGGCCCTGCTCAGCTGCGGACTTGTGCCTGTGGCTTTTATCGGGCCAATCAAGGCTCGTGTTTGGTCTCCTTTGTTTATTATGTGTTTTCATTGACTCATGATCTTTTTTCCCCTGACTGTGATTTTCTTTGGGCTTATTTTTCTGACTTTTGAAGGTGGAATCTCATCATTTGCCCTGCCTTTCTTTGTTGATACATACAGGGTGGGGAAAAGTCGGATTGCAGTTGTTCATATGGAAAATAATACAATAGTTAATAGATAATAATACAGGATAAACTCTTTTTTTAAAAAAATATATATATACACATATATATTAAAGATTTTATTTATTTATCTTTAGAGGGGAAGGAGAGAGGGAGAGAAACATCAATGTATGGTTGCTTCTAGTACTTCCTCTGCTGGGAAATAGCCCACAGGGAACTGGTCTGCAACCCAGGCATGTGCTCTGACTGGGAATCGAACCGCAATCCTTTGGTTTGCAGGCCCGAGCTCAATCCACTGAGCTACACCAGCCAGGCAGGATAAACTCTTTTGCATACTCCCAACAGCGAACCTACTTTTGCCCCATCCTGTCCTGATTTCCAGCCACGAATTTCCCTCTGGTTACTGCTTTTGCTGTTCCATACGAGGTTTGTTATATAGTATTATTACTCCCTTAAACACACTTTCTAATTTTCATTATGATTTTAAAAATATTCCCCCCCAAATTAATAAAGTTTAATATTTATGCTGATAAGATCAGGATTGAGAAAGAAATGCCCTCCATCATCACAGCTCTTTTTAATTTTAAAAAATGGTGGGCTGCACCATTTTGGTTGTTTGGAAGCATGCAACTCTGGCATTGAGGGCGTTCACATCTCTGTGCAGCCGTATTGTCTGTTTTACACTAAAGGTAGAGAATACATTCTACATGATTTCAGTTCTGTAAATGCGCTAAGATGTGCTTTATGGTATTGGGTATGCAAACTTTTGTAGGTGTTTATGTTTGGAGAGATTGACACATACACATATCCAATGGATCAGAAGTGTTCATTGTGTTGTTCAAATACTTAAAATAAATCCAACTGTTCAGTAAAACTTTGCGTGCTGATGGACGTGCCCTGTGCACCACCGTACAGGGCGGCCCCGCCCACATGTGCTCACGGAGCACTTGAACTCTGACTGGTGGAATGAGAAACTGACTCTTTACTTTTAATCGATTTAAACTTGTATTTAACAGCCACGTGGGGTTAGGAGCTTTTAAACGGGACAGCACAGTTCTAGATGAAATCTACTTTTGTTGGAATGATCGTTACTGAGAAGGGGGGTTTTATTTAATCTTCTACCATAAAGGTGGTGAACAGTCTTCGTTTGTCTGAAAATGTCTTTATTTGAAACTTTATTTTTTGTAAATAAGGTTTTGAAACGTAGACTTAGATACACTTATCTTGTACCAGGCTCTATTTCCATGGTTTTATAAATATTAATGTTACAGCAGTAAGTTCGGTCCCGTCAGTCCTTTCCATCTTTTGTCTCCTGCTGATGCAGACACTTTGGAATGTGTGTTTTTTCTTTAAATCCAGGGGGATAAACACAGTTATGTTACAGTCTGTGAATGGTAGTCACCTTTCCATCATCCCTAGTCTTTTGCTCCTGCCGGTCTTCCCTGCCGTCTTTCCTCCCTGTGCACTGGCCACCCCGCACAGCACACTCATAACAGTGTGTGACAAGTAGTTTGTAGGGACAAGTTCAGGCCTCTGGTCCCCAGAGAAGACTTTAGTTTCCTGTGTTTGGTGGATACTGTTAGTTGTTAACGTCACCCTTTGTAGTTATCCGTGATGGAGGGGTTGGCCCAGGAGCCCACTGCTACCAGAACGGTGGTCTCCATTCTACTCACTTTGCAGCCCGCCGTGGTCTGTCCCCTGCCTCGCACTCCCGTCTGTCACGCACGAGACGACCTGGCTGCCCGGTGCTGAGCCTGTCTTGGTCCTCATCCTGCTGACTTCTTGTTGACTTTTGGCACAGTTAGCGGCTCTCTCCTTTGCTGAAGCTCTTTCCTCAGCTTCTGTGCGGGGTAGTTTTTCCAGGTCCTGAGCTCCTCTTTCTCTGTCTCCCCCTTGGGGCCTTCTTCCTCTGCCTGCCTGCTCCGTGAACAGTGGCGTCCCCAGGGTCTGACTTGCTCCTCTCTCCTCTGACTCCGAGTTTCTTCCAGGGGACCGCATTCACAGCTCCCATCTGCTCACTCACAACCTTCTCAACCCCACTGGTTTTCCCGAGCCCCTGATGAAAGGTCCAGCTGCTGCCTCTTTTGTTCTTCCAAGAGCATCCACACCGAGGTGCCAGGCACCGCTTTCTCAACCTTTGGGGAGCCGTCCGTCAGAGGATGGCACGACCGTCCGCTCTAAACACCTGTGGGAGCCGAGGCCTCCCCTTTGCCTCCCAGCGCCCACCTCATGTCCGCTCTCCATTTACCTGTGAGGCTAACCCAGCGCTGTGGGCTCTCTGCTCCAGAGGGTCCTTCTTAGAAAGCATCCTTGGTACCAGCTGCCCGCTGGTCTGATCAGTGTGTGGTTCTCAGCGCCCGGGTGAGTCTGAGCACCGGCCAGGTATGTTGAGCCCTGTTCTGGTCGTTTCCTGCCTCCCCAACCTGCCATCCTGTTGATGACTCACTTGGCTCTGCCGGTTTTTCCCAGCAGGCCCTTCTGCCCCTACCGTCCTTCACATTCACAGCTAGAGGCCTCATTCCTCAAGTGGAAATAGGGCCATTTCATTTTTCAGCTCAAAATTCTTCAGTGGTCCTTCAATTCCAGGGTGCAGCAAAATCTGAAAGAGAGCGTCTTCTCTCCCCCTTGCTACCTGCTGCCTGCCTTCATCCAGGGACTCTGTACCTGTCGTTCTGAGCTATTTCTCTTTGTTCTTCTCCCCATGCCTTTGGACAGCCGTTCCCTCTTCCTGGGGTTCCCATCCCTCTGTTCTGGCTGGCTCCAGCCTGTCCTTTGGACCGATCTCTATTACCTTCTGCAGGCAGGCTTGGCTGGAAGACATGGTTAGATGGGACGGGACAGGAAGAGATGGGCGGACGATGAGCCTGTGAGAATGACTGGGGCCGTTTTCTGTCTTTCTCGGGACTACAGCTGCACGAGTCTTGGCCCCCTTCTCTTTCCCTTTGTCTTGGCCCCAGTGGGCTTCTTCTCCCACCTCCTAGATCAAGGGGAGAGGAGACTGTGTGGACACATCACTCAGAGAAACGTTTGAGCTGTGAACGTGTGATAGAGCGGAAGGTTGCCATCCTGTGTTATCCGCAGCAGCTCAGGTGCTGGGTCTGAGGTGCTGGGCACAGCGGTGCAGAGCATTAAACCCCAGCGTCGGGTGTGCATTGTCTCTGACTTAAAAGATTTAGTAGTAAATGAAGTGGGGTGGTGGAGTCAAGGCCATTGCCGGCGACACATCCGTCCCCCGGTGTCTGGGTGGGCTGTGCAGGGGCTCGCTGTCCTTTGAAGGGGACGTGGACCTCAGCAAGAAAAGAATTGTGACAAAAAAGTAGTCAGGAATTAAAGTCTCTTTAAAAAGTGAAGAGAGTTTGGCATAGCAATCTGTGAAGTCATCACTAGACCCGGACTCCGGAGCATCAGAGGTGATGGGCGTTCTCAAGACCGAGAGCTGGGAGGAGCGGTACGGAGCCCCCGCTGCGAGGGTACGTCTGGGCTGACATGAAACAAAGGCTCACAGAGGGTTCACACGACAGAACATAACCTTTAGAAAAAATAAAGGGTTTATAAACGATCACGAATGGCACAATCATAAAAGGCAGTGAAGGGAAATGGTTATGTTTGGGAGTGTTCACCCCGGGGGGGGGGGGCGCCCCATCCCCCACCGGGCTTCCCAGCTCTGCCTGTGGATTGAGGATGGTGTGTAGACGGTGCTCGTTTCTGTTGCAAGTGGAGGGGAAGCCGCCTTACCCCACCAGCTCTCTCTCTGGCTGGTCAGGCTGGGGATACAAAGCTGTGCACCAGGTGAGTAACTATGGAAACCACACCCTATTGTGATGGGGTGGGGGCGTGCCTTCAAATTGAGGTCACCAGCTAGCTCTTGCAAGGAGCATGTAAGAGCCATACAGAGCACCTTCCCTAGTTGTGGAACATCGGGCAGTGATGGAATCCTGGAACTCGAGTTGAGTAACTTACAGAGTCTCCCTGTGTAGCCGCTGGGTGATTACCGCAAAATCCAGGTCTTCCCTGCAGCCAGACCTTCTGAGAACGGATCGCGGTTGCTCCTGGGAGTTTGGAGAAAGCCATGAGGCCGCAGTGCTCTCTTACTTTTAATATTTAATCTCAGAATATGAGCTTTTAAATAGGCTTGGTTTAGCCTTGCCGTATTTGTTTTTAATTTAAAAATGGGATAGACTGTCCTGGATAGTGTGGCTCAGAGGATGGAGTGCCAGCCTGTGAACCGAAGGGTGACTGGATCGATTCCCAGTCAGGGCATGTGCCTGGGTTGGGGGCCAAGTCCCCAGTAGGGGGTGTGCAAGAGGCAGCCACACACTGATGTTTCCCTCTCTTTCTCCTTTCCTTCCCCCTTCTCTCTAAAAATAAATAAAATCTTTTTTAAAAAATGGGATAGACTGTTTGAAAATTATCAGGCTGACATATTCCTGCATTTCTGCCTGAAGGGAAACCTGTGAATTGAACTGTGTGAAATGTCCCTGAGCCCAGCATAATGTATTTTTCAACTGAAATATTTAAGGGGATTCTGTATAAACCTGATTTTTAAAGCATTTTCATCTTGTTTTGTCTCCTTTTTTAAAAAAAAAGCATCGCCAGTCAAAGATGTAAATGAAAAACCAGAACGAGAGGTCAGGACAACAGAGACTGACAGATTACCCAGCGGCCCGAAGCCTCGACAGCAGCCCAGTGCCTTGTTTGCTAGAGGAACGAGGAAGGCGGTGAAAAGCCCTCAGAGATCATCAAGTAAAATAAGAGAAAAGAAGCATCCGTTCGCTCTTTACGGGTGGGGAGAGCGGCAGACGGACACCGGAAGCCAGAAGACGCACAACGTCTGCGCTTCGGCCCCGGTGCACGAGGTACGTGCGTGTGCACCGCCCTCTCTGCTGCTACTCGGGGGGGTGGTCTCGGCCACGGGCCTGGCCTTGGCTCTCCCACCCTGTGGTCACAGAGATGCTGTAGGGCGTGGTGCAGTGGGCCAAGGAAAGTCCAGAACTGGGCATCTGATTGGCAAATGGCAGGATTCTGGAGGTTGGCTGCCTGGAGACCAGGGGGTTTTGCCAGGAATTCACGAGAACCTGGAGGAAGGAGTGGTTGGAGTCTGGGTTCTCGAGTTCCGGGGGTGCCAGGAGGTGCCAAGGGGGGCACAGCCAGGGCTGGGGCTGCTCGCCCAGATTTGCCTTGGGCGTCTGGAGAGGTTTCCAGTCCCTGGGGCTTTGCCAGCTGGTGTTTCCTGGGCTTCTTTGTCATTGGTTTGCCTGTTAGGTTGCTACCCCCGTAGCTCTTGCCTTCTGCCAAAGACCCCCTTTGCCCCTGGGACTAAATTCGAACGAGGGTGTTCAAACAAGGCTGTTCCCCAGCCCAGACACACTGGAAGACGCCTCCCTCCACTCCAGGGGCCTCGGCTCCCCTCTGACTGGGGCCTGGCTTGACCCTGTCTGGTGTCCCGAGAACAGGTCAGGCTGGGGCGTCCTCACATGTACGGCCACCAACAGTTGCGTGTGTTAGTGGTTCTACTGTGACCACTGCCCAAAGCAAAGAATGAAGGAAAGGAACAAAGAGAAGGTGCAGACTGTGTGAATTCTGATTGGACTCCCTAGCCACACTCTCCCTGAACAGCCTTCTGACCCCCAGTGGCAGATGGTGTTGGAAGCGATGCCTCAGATAACAAAGCCGTGGTTTAGCAAACAAGTGGGCAGGGTTACATTTAACCGGGTTTATATCTGCAGTATGAAATGTCTCACGTGATAAAGTCCCTTGAGGGTGTATTTTTTTTTTTAACTATTTTGCTGTAAAACATTTCAAGTCCTTTAATGGACTACTTAGCCACGCTTAATGCTAAGCAGATCCCATGATTTTCCAGAGCCAGTTTCTAGAGAGCCATGCAGATTCGTTGCTTAGCATTTGTACCTGAGTTTAGTCCCGTGCACGTTTTCGGTTGCTTGGTGTCTCTGTTGCTGACAGTGGTTGCCCCACAGCCTCCAGGGCAATGGCCGTTCAGGAGAAGCCTTGGTGAGCAGAGCTGCACACCAAGGGGCTGGGCTTGCCGCTGCCCTGCCTCAGGTGGCCCGGGGTGGCGTCATTGCAAATATTCTTGCACATCCGTTCAAAAGCCACTCGGGTCATTATACTTCTATTTCTGGACTCTCCTTTATTATGCTTCTATTTCTGGACTCTCCTTAGATTCATGAATCAGCATTACGGGCCAAGAACAGAAGGCAGGTGGAAAAAAGGAAACTGCTCGCTCAGAGGCAGCGAGCTCACTCCGTGGAGGTGGAGAAGAGCAGGAGGCTGAGGCCGTCCTCCTCGGAGGACCCGTGGGTGACGGAGTACATGAGGTGCTACTCGGCCCGCGCCTGAGGGGAGCGGGCGCCTTTCAGCAGTGTAAATAAAAGAAAGAGCAAACACAACCAGGCAAAACAAAAGCATCAGAAGGAACCAGGTTTAAGGGACCAGTGGAGTATGCAAGATTCTTAGGGAATTGCCGAAAGATTTTTTTCTTTTGAGGAACTCTGATCCCCGACCTCTGCAGTCGGGTGAAGTTGAAGCCATAGACATTTGGATATTTATGATGATAATTCCCATAATCTTTGATATTCTTGTAAGGGTTTTGTTTCAGAGCATCTCAATCTTTTAAGGTACTGACACCGAATGCCTTTAAATGGCTATAGATGCTTAACACTCAGTATTTTTTCCGTAAGTTTAGGCAGAGCCAGTTTTGTCCTGCCCTGAGTAACTGTCCGGATCACGGAGCAGGCAAGTTCATTCCAACATCAGCATAGGACTCATCTGCCTTCCGAGTAGCTTTGTGGGAGAACGTCACATCCAATGTGTGTTTCGGCACTCACGGTGATCACCTGCGCAGTGGAACTAGAACTTCGGGAGTTTCTGAGCAATTAAACTTAGTTGTATTCAGTTCAGCACTTCACACAGACTGCGATATTTAAGAATTATCTGGGCCGGGTGAGGGTTATCTTTTCTCTTTAAATCATCATCTAGATTCTAGGCACTTATTATTTAATAGTTTACTAGTTCAAGTGCATTCCAGTGCAGTGTGTCTAGAGCAGGACTGAAGTTTCTTTTGAATCAAAGGTGGCTGTGCCACTTTTTAATTGTTTTTAGAGCACATAAGGAGGAGTGGGTTGCTGGCCGCTGGCACTCAGCCACGTGGGCTTTTGTTGGTCTCTTCTGTTACAGCGACACTGAGAACTTCTCTAAACTTTTATTGAATGAAACTGCAGTGGTCCAGCTTGCTCTCGGGAGGCAGGACAGTCGGGAGTCCCTCAGAGATGTGGCCCGCCCTGCCTCCTCCACTCTTTCCTCCCCGGAACTCACTAATAACAGCCTCGATAATGTACATACTCCCTTTTGGTGGAAATGCATTCCTAGCTAGTAGGTCTTGTGTGGAAGTTCACGTGAGGACGGATGTATGTAGGTCCAAATGTAAGGGTGTGTATGTGTGAATGATGTGCCCTTTCTCTGTAGTAAATACATTTGCTTTGGGGACAGAGAAGTGATTTGAAGAACCTCTGGTTTCCATCCAGTGGAGACGGACTTTACAGGACGGGTGAGTGCTAGAGTCTTTGTAAGAGGGCAGAAGGGTACTTTGCCTGCCGACTTAGCACCTGGGGGTGTGGGAGTGAAAGTTTGGTGTTTGGTGTGAGTGTGAGCGTTTCCTTGATATTTGTACTTTGGCTCCCCGAAGTATTATGATCCCTTTTTAGAACACAACTATGTTTTAGTCCACATAAAATCTTCACGTAACGTCAACTTACAACTGTAGTAAGCTGTGAAAAACCATACTGAAGAATCATGAGCTTTTTAAGAAAAAAAGACTTTAAAAAAATATTTTGCATCATTTTGAGGTGAGTTAATTCTGGTGACTTTTGCTGTTGTTATTAAAGTCCTCAAACACTGCAGGTCTCTTAGAGGTCAAGTTAATGTGGTGATTGCACGGTGCACTGTCCTTTTAAACCACTTGCTGCGTGTTGGGGTTCAGCCGCTGTTCAGGCCTTCATGTCGCACCTGACAATCTTAGGGAAGGGAAGGGAACCCCAGCGGGTCGCGCAGCCCCCCGTGGACAGACTGCCTTAGAAACCCAGCTTGCTCTAGGCTGGGAACAAGCCAGCCTCTCTCTCCTTTAGAAAACAGACTTGTATTTAGAGAGCTTCCTAGTGAAAACTCCAGGGGGAGATCTGGAAAAACCTAGGAGGCAATATTGGCCATGTTTGCCCTTTTTAAATAGAGGACAATGGAGCAAGGTTTTTAAAGTACTTTTAATGTGCATGAAGGACGAATACATCATGAATGAATTGTGACTCCCCTTCCAATGTCTTACTTAAGTCATTAGGTTAGGGTTTCTTTTTTTTTTTTTCCCCTGTAGGGGTGCAGGTTAACTTTTGAGCCTATGAAATACTTCCAGTTGTAACAATTTGACGGACTAGAAAGGAATGTGGTTGTCATCGTGTTTCTAATTCTTGGGACAACTTGCAAGACAGCAGGATAGTTTAAAATTACCTTTCATGTGAAACAAATGTCAAACTGCTTGAGAACCCAGTGATGTTTAAAATATGGAATAAAATCATTGCTACACAGACTCTCTTTTTAAAATTTTGGTTTTAAGGTTTTAATTAAAACAGTTTCCACACACGTGTTTCTGTGTTACTTTTATTAAGAGAAGTAATAGAATACTGAATGACATTGGCAACTACTGGACCTAGGTGAATAAGTAAGTAGGAATTAAATTCTTTTTAAATTTTTAAAACCTAAAAGTTTTAAACTTACTTACTTGGTACTTCTGGGTATATGTCTACCAACCCTTCCCATAAAATTTCTAAGCACATATCAACATTTTGTAAGTTTCCTGAAGTTATAATAAGGCATAGGTTATCTTAATTGCTCATCTTGTCGTGGGCATTGATTTATGCCTACCACATATTAATAGTTTTATCATTTCTGTGCTAGGAAACTCAGCTAACTAAATTGCATAGAATGGCCACTGAGTTATTGGAAATCATATATCCAAAACAGAGTATTGCACAATTTGCAAGTTAAAAAAAATCTGTAGTACATTCCCCTCCTCCTGTAAATTGGTAATATTGTCCTGGGTAGAAATTTCGAACATGGATGTTACAGTACTTGATATTGAAAATAGAAGTATATTTGGCAAAAAGCGCGTGCGGTGAAGCACATGTTAGAAATCAAAACTTGACTACTTTGGTAAAATATTGTGTAGTGGATAACTTGACATTCCATTGGATTAGATTAAAAATGGTGCTAATGTTTATAAAGCCTAATTCTGTGATGATTTGGTATCAAATTGTGAATGCCTAACTCCCACAGTCCTTATCATCATGAAATAATTTAAAAGTGATCTGAAAAACGGGACCAGGTCATTTTCAAATGCGTGCATTTGGAATGGAGTTTGTGCAGTAGCTGGAATAGGGAGCTGCTCGGCGTGAGTGTATGCTCAATCCCAAACCCGGAGCCAGGAGCCCCATGTAGGTTTGGGGCTCAGGTTGGTTCCGTCCAAGCCTGCTGGTCTGACTGGGAAAGAGGTGCGCCTTTAGTCCTTATTTTCATTTTGGAAGGACACCTGAATGAAGACCTTAGAGGCTTCCTTTTGGACTTGAAAAAATAATTAGCAGCACTCCCCAGGTTAAAAGTTCATTCTGAGTGTTCCACGCACTTGAACGTTCCAAAGGAGCAAAGCATGGGCAGTCCCAAAGCTCGGCAGTGGGAATTTTAGCTTGTAGTTTATAAGACCTGTGTATTGCTTTTTGCTTCTGTCTAATGTTGCAGTTACTTGGAAAAATGTGAATAAAGGTAGTTGATATTACAGGCTGGAACTTCTGTGTTTTGGGAAATTAATTCTGATTAGTACATCAATGGTTGGAAAAACTATGTGATCACAGTGATTCCTAAATGGGTTTGTCATGAGAGAAATGTTTACAAGATGTGTTAGGTACATCTACGAAAAGATACTTTATATATATGTGTGTGTGTGTGTGTAGTTGAATTATAAATGTTTCCCATTGTTTACCTCATACCTTCCTATTGCTTTGAAAATTGCAAAAGGAGTAGTGTATGGTTACAATTTCAAAAGAAGTACAGCGTAAAAAATGAAAATACCCTTTGGTAGCACCCCATCCCCAAACTTCTGTGCCCCTTCTTGAAGGAAACCAGTGCTAAGTCCGGTGTGTAAACTTAGAGACCTTTTCTCTAAGCACTTATCTGGGGGCACAAGTACCCAGTTCTTTCCCCGCGGAACTGTGGGTTCATGCTACATGCACTTTATAATATTTTTTCTCTTGTTTTAGGGAAGGCTCGGGTTCCGGGTAAGATGGAATCAGCATCCCCCTTCTGTTCTCACTGAACACACGCATGAGCCTGGGCAAGATCTGGCCCAGCTCCGGAGGGCGGGGAGGGCGGATACCAGCCTGCAGGTTGGGGAGCAGCTCCAGAGTCCTAAGTCCAACCTGAGTGGCGAGCCCACCCTTTAAAGGGATCCCGGGGGTCTCCAAGCCCCAACACAGCACAGCCCCCAGCGCAGCAGCGAGCTCGGTGGGGTGTTCCAGGGCCCTGCCGCGGGCTGGCTGGAGGGACAGAAAAGGAACTGAACTTGCAGAGAGAGTGGGGGACACGCCCCTTTTCCCGTTTGGTTTTTTTGTTTGTTTGTTTTGCTGGAGCCCCCAGGCACCCCGAGGCTGCCAGTGAGTCTGAAGGGGGAACATCTTTCTTCACCCAAGGGGGCAAGGTTCAATCCTGGTCAGGGCATGTACCTGGGTTGCGGGGCCAGGTCCCTAGTTGGGGTCCATGTATGTATCTCTTGCACATCAATGTTTCTCACCCTCTCTTTCTCTGTAAAACTAAAATCTTAAAAAAAAAACAAAACCTTAAAATAATGATGGCCAGAAACGTCCCGAGTAAGCTGAGTGAACCCAAAGAAATCCCAGCCCAGAAACATGATAAGCTGTAGAAAACTAAAGAACGTCTTGAAAGCAGCTAGAGAGCCACAAAAGGTTTACCTGCCGCGAAACGACCGTTCAGAAGACAGTGTTTTCACCTGAAGGACTACGCAGGCCAGGACGATGTGGTAAAGTGCCAGCAGCAACGTGCTGACTCGGGACTCTGCAGCCAGGGAGGCGTCCCTCCGGACGGTGGGGGCGGAGCAAAGACTCCTCAGGTGAAGACAGACCCAAGAGAACGGATCGCCGCCGGCAGACCTGCTTTAATAGAACAGGTAGAAGAGGTTCTTCAGACAGAGGGAAGTGATACCCCCCAAATGTGGAAGGAACACGGGGGAGGAAGAGCGAGCAACGGCAGCCGTTCTGGGCGGTTCTCCGGCCCTGAAACAGGCAGAGCCGGGAAGAGGAAAGAACTAAAAAGGCCTCTTCGCCACACCTGGGTCTGTGTCAGCAAGGTGACCTTTGGAGCGCACCTGTGGGTGGGAGCTGGAACCTTCATTCCCACCGCCCCGGCCTCCAGGGAGGGAAGAGGGGCCGGAGAGTAAGTTCAGTAGCTGGTGGCCAATGATTCAGTCAGGCCTATGTAATGAAGTCTTCATTAAAACCTCCAAGGATGGGGTTCCCAGAGCACTGGGTTGGAGGACGGCGTGTGGGGATTCGGGGAAAGCGGAGCACCCCCCGCACCTCGCCCTGCGCACCTCTTCACGCCGCTGTTCTGAGTTCCGGCTTATTATAATGAACCAGAAATCCGGCAGGTAAAACTGTCTTTCCGAATCCGCTGAGGTGCTCTAGGAAATCAGTAGGGCCCAAAGACAAGGTCGTAGGAACCTCCCATTTTCAGCCAGTTGGAGGCACAGGTGACAACCTGGACCTGCGATTGGCCCCGGGAGTGGGGCAGGGCAGCAGCTGCAGGACCTGGCCCTCAGCCTGCGGGGTCCGAGGCCACCCTGTGCACAGTGACAGAACTGAGTTGCAGGGTCCCCGTTGGGGTCGCAGAACTGCCCGATGGGAGGAAGACGGCCCCGTCTGGTGACAGGAGGGAGGACTGCTTCAGCTGTCCCCACAAATTTCAACATGTTGTATTTTCATTCTTCTTCCAGTGAGAGTACGTGTCAGTTTCTTTGGTGGATTATTTATGAGTATATTGTTTAATTTCCAACAGATTGGAGATTTTCCTGTTACCTTTTCCCCAATTTCTAGTGTAATGACAGTATAGTCGGAAAATACTCTGCACGATTTATTTTCTACTTGTAAACGTTTATGTGCCATGATCTCCTCTGTCTTGATGATGGATGTTCATGCGCACAGGAAGAACGTGTGTGTTGTTGCTGGGGGGAGAGTTCTGGAAGTGCCAGTGTATATGATGGACGCTGCCGTCTGGCTCTTCTGTATCCGTAACAACTTTCTGTCCACTCGTTCTGTCACTGTTAGGACAGCCGAGTCTCTGACTGCTTCTCCTTTCAGTTCCCGCCGGTTCCTCTTCCTGTGTTTTGCCTCAGGACAGTCTTGTTACTGCGTCCACCTTTTCCTGGGAGATGGGGGCAGGCTGCCCGCCACAGCCACTCTGTCCCCCCCGTCCCAGCGCTGCCTTCCCTGGGCATCAGAGACCCTTGTTCCTCTTCGCTCTGTCATGTTGTGGGGGCGATGCTTGCCACTCTCACAAAAGTCCACCAGGGTTTGGGAACGCTGACCATGTTTATGAGGACACTGTTCGCATAGGAACGCCTATATTTTGGCTTTGAAATTCTGTTGTGAGGTTCAAAGGGAAAACTCTTAGCTGCAGAGAGCTGGGCAGGATTCTGGTGGGGGAGGGTGGGAGGCGCGCAGGTGGCTGGCACCTGCGGATGGGCACGCCCAGGGTGGGGTCTGCGGGCATCCACCTGCAGCAGGTGTGCTGGCCACGGGTTTTCCCAGAGGCGGAAACTGCCGGGGTCCCCTGCGGAGCAGGCCCCCAGCAGCCCCGTTTGCTCCCACTGCGTGCATGGCGCACAGGCCAGCCTTCCCCCTCCGCTGTTCCTGGCCCCTCCGTGGTCTCTGGCTACAGTGAGAGGGAAGCAGGTCCACGTGGTGCCCTCCCTGGAAGGCTCGGGAGCCAGTCGCTCACCCCTCTCCCTTCCCCAGCGGGCAGAAGTCCTTCCAGCTGGGGAGGGAGTTCCCTCCTGTGCTGAGCAGAGTGGGACCTGGGGCTGCGGGGAGGGGTGAGGAGGCGGTCTTCCTGCCCTTTCTGGGTGGTGCATCGCTCTCAGGTGTCTTGTTCTACTGTGCTGCTGAAGTTTCTTAAGTGAGCTCCTGACCCCTCCCAGGCCTGTTTTGGTGGTGGGGCAGCTGTCTTACTGTTGACCCTGGTGGGGGGAATGGAGGCTGGGGGTCTCCTATTTCACCATCTCGGTGAGGTCACCTGGCTGTTAGGAAACGCCCTCCCAGAAGGAAAGGGGTTGGGCAGGATCACGCTGCTGCCCTTTGGGGATTTTGCACAACAGTCTTCTTGGAGCAGGTAGGCTGGATACGCAGGTACCTTAGAAAGACTTGAGGACACAGCTGGCTCTGACCATCTGTCCTCCCCGCAGGCCCTGGGGTCCCTCCTTAGGTGCCAGGCGTCCTGTCCCAGTAGAGACGACAAATAAGGACAATGTGTGGATGAAGGGGATGAGACCAAGAGAAAGGTTAGGACAGCCAATGACAAGCAGAGTGTAGTCCCGCTTGGAGAGGCTCTCGCAGAGAGGTGTTACAGTGCCCCCTGCAGGGCTGCGCCGGCCTCGCGGGCGCACCACAGAGGAGAGGGCAGCAGGGTCCCTACAGAAGTGCAAAGGCAGTGAGAGAGCTCCGGGCAGTCAGAGAACCGCAACGCACTGTTTTCCCCCCCAAAATGGGCACAGTGTGAGGGCATGCGATGTCAGTTCTGCCCACAGAAACCAAAATGAAGACTTTTCTTGAAAAGGGAATGATATAGTAGGCTTACCCTGAATTAATCCTATCACAGAATTTCCTAGTCAGTGTAAAATGACTTGAGGTCACCCCACCCAACAAAAGAAAATTAGTATTTTCCTCTCATACATCATGAGTAGGTCCTTCCCTACTTAGTGAACATGCTCACCTCCATGGTATTTGGACATGTAAAACAGCAAGTTTTTCTTAATGCTGGTGTTCTTGAACAGAAAGTGTACTCGTCAAGTTAAAGCTGTCAAGAGGCCCATCTGTCACTCAGTCCCCCACAGAAGGGTGAGGGCACCTTCCTCTCGCAGGGAGGAGTTCGGATCACGGCGAGGGCATGTTTGGTGGGGTTTGCCCCGCCTCCTGCTTGGTGAGCCAGTTCCAGAGGCGCATGCGTCACCGTTAAATACCTTCTTCACTCTGGGCTACAGACATGTTGAGATGATTGGAATTACCAGCCCCTCGTGTGGTTACACAGGAAGGGGTGATGCTGAAAACACTTCACAGCCAGCAGAGCGAGGGCACCGATGCTTGGAAGTTGCACTGGCCCCGGGTAGCAGGCTAGCTGCCCTGGTGTCCCTGCTGAAGATAACTGTCACCTGTGTTAGGGGACAGCACTCTGGTCCAACTAGCCATGTGCTGGGAAATCACCTTCAATAATGCGGTATAAAAGAGGAGCGTTTTGCTTTCAACACATGGCAGAAAACCAGCTTCAGGTAATTGCAAGGTAAGAAAACCACCATTCTTGGCTTTGCAACAGCCTCTCTGAAGAAGTTCCCAGTGTTATGGTGGCTACATAACCTTTAAAAAAATACCAGGGCTGCATACTGAATAAGGAGCCTTGGATGTTTGCAAATACTACGGCAGAAAAAACTGAGGCAGAGGAAGATGAGACAAGATTGGCGTCATGGAGACAGTTGTGGAAGCTAACCAGAAAGAGGCTCATGTGTTGTTTTCTTCATACTTGTGCATGCTGACTGAACACCTTCGTAATCAAAAACAACACACATGTAGATTCGCCGATCACATTACTTTATAGCAGTAAGCAGTGTTTTCTTTTCTCGATCTTGAGAGTGCACTTATTAAGGCTGGGGATAGTGAAACGAGGAAGGGCTGAGGGCGGAGAAAGCAACAGGAGAGTCTGGGCAGGGCTGCTTCGGTTCCCTGGGCTGGGCCTCTGCGGGGCAGGGTCAGGGCTTGGCCTGGAGGAGCCTCCACTGCCCATTGCTCCCGGGTACTGAGTGTCACGGGGACCCTCAGAGGTTGGGAGGTGCATGCCTGTGGGGGAAGCAAAACGTGGGTGGGCTCGTGGGGTGGGGGTGGGGAGCAGGCTGGTGATTTCTAATCTAATGTAACACTGATGGCTGGAACGTTGCCTGCTGCTTGTCTTCCTGCAACTGGCAAGTATCTGTGAGCTACTCTAGCAAATTAAAGGAACCCAAGGAAGGGGGTGTGGGAACCTCAGCTTTATGGCCAGTTGGACAGAAGCACCTGGACTTGCGATTGGCGTCTGTTTTATGTGTGTGTACACGCACAGCAGACTCAGCGCTCAATCTGTGGGACCTGATACTGTCTCCAGGTGGACCGTGTGGAACTCACTGCAGGGCACCCAGCTGGTGCCTGGAGACCCAGGGAATTGGCCGGTGGTGTTGGAAAACATGGCACTGACGGGTAGTACAAAATTACCCCCTTTCTTCCTTTCCCCTGAAGACTTTAAGAACTGCCATGGTTTGGTTCTCCAGCAACTTTTATTGGTCAAAGGATGTGGAATTCCTGTGCGGTTATCTATGGTTTAATTAACAGGCTCATTTATAAGTCAACTGAACATTCATGTTATTTAAAAAACTTCTGCGTATGAGTAAACTGATGTGGTGGAATGGACATGCTCTTCGCCCATGCAGGAAGCTGTTCAAAGAGCAGCTTGCAAAACCGTCATAAACGGGACACGGAATGAATCGTTCGTTCGTCCAGAGAGGTCCGAGGAGTGGTTCCGTCTGAGGATTTGCTCCATATTCTGACTTTTCAAAGTAAAATACTCAAGGCTTTTTAAAAGCAGAATTAAAATATCTAAAACAGATACATACTGATAGTTTATCCACGTCACTTCCTGGCGCTGGTAGTGCCGCCTGCTGCTGATGGGAAAATGAAACTTACCAGTCGGCCTGCAGCTAAAGAGTCAAGTGGAAGAACGCATCTGAGGTGAAGCATACTTGTTAACTTTTCAGCCTTAAATAATGCTGTATTTCAATTTTACAGAGAAGTTGTATTATATATTTTTTGCATTGACACTTTAAAATATTAGAACAAGTCTTTGCAATACAATACATACTATACTTCAATAAACCTCACGTGAATTAACAATGTGTTGACTTGATAACTGTCCTAAGGCATTTACGTATTCAGCAAAAGCTATACAGAATTTCTTAGTGGTATCCCTTTACTGTTAACTTGATTTAGTGGGCTTCCTTCAGAGGAACACGAAACAATAAAAGGCTTACAAAAGAGGCAGTGACCCCAGAAAAAGCACAGGAGCAAACCGAGGGTTTTCTAGCAGGAAGACCAGACCGGGAGTGCAGCCAGGTGACGGGTCTGTCATCACGTGCGCCGATAGGGACCCGCGGGCCGGCGGCCTGGCGAGCGTGGAGGATGGTGCCGAGTCCGCGGGGCTGGTCACGGCGCCTGGGGCAGCAGCTGCCGGCTGCGCTTACTGATGTGATCCTGATGCAGGTGCTTGGACATCAGCAGATTGCTGGACAGGGTCAAGTTCACAGGAGAACACTTTAGATTTTGTTTTGCTACGTGAGCAACGACTGTGTAGTGTGTCGGTGGGGTCACACACACACCCCGTGGACCGTGCACAGAACCGAGCGAGCACCGTGCTGGCCAGTGACGCCAGAGTGGGAACGACTTAACCAGCCTGAGGACCGCACGCCTGGGCCAACAGATCTCAGGTCGCATGATTAGCGGAAATAAAACACGGGACTGCATTTCGTGTGACCTTCCACGAGGTCAGACACCAAGCTGCAGAGTCGCAGGGCTGGAGTGTATACAGTGTGGGCCAGGGTCTGAACCGGAGGCGAAAGGACACTGGAACGGAACATGTTTACACACGTGTAGACATCCCACGGTGCGGTCCACTGAAGGAGTGTCACCACGTGATCTGCTGAGCCACACTCACTAGCTTACACATAACACCCAAACCTCCCCCCTCCCGCCCCCGGACAGAGATCTACTTCTGTATAAAGTAGAAAAAGGTGGTGGTAAAAAACTTCTTCGACCTCCGAAAACTGGGTCCCAAACACCACTGTATGATCACCTAAAAAACAGCGAGAAGAAGTTAGAAACATCACATCCATAAATGTACAAACACAGCTTAAAACCCCAAAGGGAGCAGGGGATACTTCCCACTTTCGGTTAAACGTCACACCTTTTAGATAATGTTGGCTGTACGTGAAAAGTCCACCGTGGTAAATGGGAAGAGAGAGGGGGCTTTAAAACGTTACAATCTGTGTGCAAGTTCTTTGAATGAGCCTTCCGCTTTAGCAGCAGGCACCTGGGCTTCCGGGAGCCCCAGAAGGCACCTCCCCGACCTGAGGGCAGAGACGTCGCTGTCTCCCACCAAAACGGCCCCCACTTTCTTCCTGAGCAAGTGTAGAAGGGCTTCCAGTTCTTTCAAGGAGAACATACAACTTTTTTCCTAAAAATGGTAAAGTTCAGTTTAATTTATCCTTTTGCTATTTGTTTTCTGTCTGTCCCATCTGTTCTTTACTCCCCTCTTTTTTCTGCCTTCTTTGGATTATTTATAGCATGTATTGTATTCCACTTTAATTCCTATTTTAGCTTATTAGCCACAACTTTTTATGGTGGTATTGGTGTGGTGGTTTTAGGATTTTTAAAAACTTATTAAGACTTTTTTGAGAAATTTTACGTTTACAGCAAAACTGAGGGAAAAGCAGAGACTTCCCATGTACCCCCTGCCCTCGTACACGCACAGCGCCCCGCCCCCCCCATCCTGACCACAGTGGAACACTAACGACCGATGAACCTAAACTGACACATCATCGCCCCAAGTCCACTGTTTACGTCACTCCTGCTGTTGGACGTCCTATGGGTTCGAACAAGTGTATGATGGGTGTATCACCATGACATCACATAGAGTATTTTGCTGCCCTACTGATCTGTGTTCTGGCTCCTCATCCCTCTCTCCCCAAAACCCTGGCACCCACTGATCTTTTTACCATCTCCATAGTTTTGCCTTGTTACCAAGTGTCGTACTGTTGGAATCATACAGTACGTAGCCTTTTTAAGGCTTCATAGCTCATTTCCTCTTAGTGGTGAATAATCTATTGTCTGGACGTGCCACAGTTTATCCATTCTCCTACTTGAGGGACATCTTGGTTGCTTCCAAGTTTTGGTAATTAGGAACAGAGCTGCTATAAACACCTGTGTGCAGGCTTTTGTGCAGACGTAAGTGTTCAACTCCTTTGGGTAAATATCAAGGGGGAAGACTGCTAAATCACATAGTAAGTCACCTTGTTTTGTAAGAAAATTCCAGTGTCTTCCATGGTGGCTGCACCATTTTGCACTCCCACCAGCAATGAACGAGAGTCCTGTGCTCCACATCCTCGCCAGCATTTGGTGGTGTCGGTGTCTTGAATTTTGGCCATTCTAACAGGTTCGTAGTAGTGCTGACTTATTTTAATTTGCACTTCCCTTATGACATATGATGTGAAGCATCTTTTCATAGACTTATTGTCATCTCTCTGTCTTCTTTGGTGAGGTGTTTTATAATGTCTTTGGTCTATTTTAAAATTGGGTCACTTGTTGCCCTGGATGGCTAGCTCAGTTGGTTGGAGCACTGTCCAGTACACCAAAAAGGCTGTGTGTTTGATTCCTAGTTGGGGCACATACTCATGTTGCAGGTTCAATTCCCAATCTGGGCATGTATAGGAAGCAACTGACTGATGTTTCTATTTCACATCAATGTCTCTCTCTCTCTCTCTCCCAAATCAATAAAAACATAACACTGGTGTGCTTGTTTTCTTATTACTGAGTTTGAAGAATTCCTGGTATATTTTGCACAACAGTCTTTTATTAGATATGTCTCTTGGAACTATTTTCTCCCAGTCTGTGGCCTGCCTTCTTATTATCTTGACATTGTCTTTTAGAGAAGAAACTGTAATGGAGTCTAGCTTACTGGTTGGTGTTGTATGTAAAAAGTCATCATCATACCCTCGGTCATCTAATGTTTCTCCTATCTCATCCTGTACTTTTATGGTTTTACATTTAACATTTAGGTCTGTGATCCATTTCGGATGAATTTTTGTGAAGGGTGGAAGATGTGTCTACGTCATTTTTTTTGGTATGTGAACGGCCGGTTGTCCCAGCACTATCTGTGGAAAAGACTGTCCCTGTTCCACTGTCTTGCCTTCGTTCCTCCACGGAAGACCGGCTGCTGTGTTTATGGGGTCTGCTTCTGGACTCTCTGTTCTGTTCATCTTATTTTTTCACCAGTACCACTCTGTCTTGATTTATGGTTATACTGTCTTGAAGTTGGGTAGTGACGGTCTGCTAACTCTGCTCTTCTCCTCCAGGATCGTGCTGGCCATTCTGGGTCTTGTGCCCCTCCACATACATGTTAGAATCAGTCTGATTTTCCACAAATAGCTCTTGCTTTGTTAAGTATGTTTAGCTAGTGTCCTTCTTTTGGATGCTAACAAAAATGGTACTGGATGTTGTGTGTGTTTTAAGGATTTTATTTATTTTTAGAGAGGAAAAGGGAGGGAGCAGGAAAGGGAGAGAAATATCGGTACGTGAGAGGTGCATTGTTAGGATGTCCTGTGCATGCCCCTACCTGGGGACCTGGCCCACAACCCAGGCATGTGCCCTGACTGGGAACTGAACCGGTGACCCTCAGTTCACAGGCTGGCACTCAATCCACAGAGCCACACCAGCCAGGGTTGTGTTTTTAAGTTCAAGTTGCACTTGTTCATTGTTGGTATCTGGAAAAGTGACTGACTCTGCATGTTCACCTTGTATCCTGCAAGTGTGCTACACAGCCACTTATATAGGAGTTCATGGGTTCCCTCGGGTTTTCTACACAGATAATTACATCACCTGCAAACAAAGACAAGTTAATTTCTTCCTTTCCAGTTTGTATACCTTATAGTCCCCTTTTTTTGTCTTATTGTGTTAGCTAGAACATTCTGCATGAAGTTGAAAAGGAGTCGTGGGAGGGAACCTCCTTGCCTTGTCCCTGATCTTAGTGAGAAAGCTTCAAATTTCTCACCATTGAGTGTGATGTTAGTAGTAGGTTTTCTTGTAGATATTAGTCAAACTGAGGGAATTCCCATCTATTCTCAGTTTACCAAGAATTTTCCTCATGGATAGGAGTTGGACTTTGTCAAATGATTTTTCTGCATCTCTTGACATGATCATTTGATTTTTCTTCCACAGCCTGTTGATGTGATGGACTATATTAATTACTTCTGGAATGTTGAACCACCTTGCATACCTGGAATAAATCCCACTTAGAGGTGGTATGCAATTATTTTCATACATTGTTGGATTTGATGTACTAATATTATTTTTTTTTAGGATTTATGCATCTACGTTCATCATAGATATTGGTCTGTAATTTTCTTGTAATGTGTTTTTTTGGTTTTGGAATTAGGGTAATGCTGGCTTCATAGAGTAAGTCAGAAAGTATTTCATCTACTTCCATCCTATGAAAGAGACTGTGAAAATCAGTATAATTTCTTCCTTAAATGTTTGGTTGAATTCACCAGTGAACCCATCTGGGCCTAGTGCTTTCTGTTTTCAAAGGTTGTTAATTATTGGTTCAATTTCTTTAATAGATATCCGCCTACTCAAATTGTCTATTCCTTTTTGTGTGTTTTAACAAATTGTATCTTTCAAGCAATTGGTCTATTTCGGGTAGGTTATCAACTTTGTTGGCTTAGAGTTGTCCACAGGATCTGCAGAGTGGTCTTTCCCCTTTCCTTTTCGATATTTGTAACCTGCATTCTTCTTTTTCTTAGACTGATTAGAGGCTTACTGATTTTATTAATCTTTCAAAGAACCAGCTTTGGTTTTGTTAATTTTTTTTTACTGATTTCTTAGTTTTTAATTAATTTCTGCTCTAATTCTTATTATTTCATTTCTTCTGCCTTCTTTTTTCTAGTTTTCTATAGTGTACATATAAGTGAGTGTATGTAGATCTTTCTTCCTTTTCAATATATGTATTCAATGCTATGAATTTCCCTCTAAGTGCCGCATTTGCTACACCCACCTCCAATTTTGATGCTATATTTTGATTTTCATTTAGTTTAAAATACTTTTAAATTTCTCTTGAGATTTCTGCTTTAACCCATACGTTATTTAGAAGTATGCTGTTTAATCTCCATGTATTTTGGATTTCCCAGCTATCCTTCTATTATTGATTTTTAGTTTAATTCCACTGTGGTCTGAGAACAGACATTGTATGACTTTTGTTCTTTTACATGTGGTAAACTGTTTTATAGCCCAGAATTTGGTCTCCCTTGCCGAGTGTTCCATGTGAGCTTGAGAAGAATGGGAAATTCCAATGGAGAATGCCTAACATTTAATGATGCAGTCACCTCCCCTTTCCATAATGTAGCAGCAAACAGCAGTGAGGGTCTTTACATAGAGCATGTGTGGATCTCTGGGTAGCGAACGCAGCAGGAGGCTGAGGGCCAGCAGAGGCTCTGCACGTGGGCACCTACCTCTGCGCTCCCCGGCTGCTCTAACAGCCACACTCCTGTGCGCTCGGGGCCTGTGCTCGGCGCGGCGACCGCAGCTGTCTCAGGGCAGCATCTCCGTACTGAATGCCGGAGCCCATTCTCTCTGGGTCCAGCTCACCTGAGGGACAAACAAGTCTTTTAAAACAAGTTTTTATGTTTCTGTGATCCCCCAAATATAGTAAGTTGAAAAAGAAAAACAAGTGCAGAATGCGGTGTGCATACACCACTGTTTTTACTAAAGAAGGAAAACATGGACATCGGTGTTTGCTTGCTTGGGCACAAAGTAGCTTTGAAAGGTGCCTGAGGAACTGACAGCAATGGCTGACCTCACCAAGGAGTTCTGCACGGCTAGGGGGCAGGGCGGGGCCAGTGGAGGGTGACGCTTTCTGTGCAGTTTGGAGTTACGTGAATATATTATGTACACAAAGGTAAATTCACGTACAACTGAACTACAAAGGTATCATTTTCCCCTAAACAGACTGGTAAAATTACACCCGAGTCCAGTGAGACTGCTGTGGGCAGGGCCTGAGTGCAGTGAGCACGTGCATGCATCACCAGTGGGGCGGCGCACCGCTGCAGGGCTGGCGGGAGGAACCGGACGGCCTGTGCGTGTTTTCCGAATGCACTTACATTCTGTGGCCCAGCAATTCCACTTCTGGGAATGCGGTCTCCACACACACGCGCGTGTGAAAGGATGTACACAAGGGTTACTGCTGCAGCATTATCTGCAAGAGCCAGATTCTGGCAACACCCCAAACGTTCAAAGTAGACGGATTCAATAAATGAAGGTTACCTGATTCAATTTTGTTAAGTATTTTTCTTGCACACTGTACAAAGGCCTCTTCTACATTCTCCCCCGTTAGTGCACTTGTTTCCAAAAACATCAGTTCTAAAATTGACATCAAACACAGTACAAAGCCATATTTAGAAGCCAATCATAATTATTCAATTACCAACAGCCTGTTTTGTATTATCCTAAAGTAGCAGGTGAAATTTCAGTAACTTATTACTTAAAACCATGCATTTTTGCAAATATAAAACCAATAAATACATACACACATGTATACATATTTATTTGCATTCTTGCCCAAAGGACATTTTTTCATTGCTTTTAGAGAGGAAGGAAGAGAGAGAAACACTGATGTGAGAGAGAAGTATCAGTTCTTGCCTCCTATTCATGCCCAGAGTGGGGAATCGAACCGCAAGCTCTCAAGTACGGGATGACGTTCCAACCAATTGAGCCACACCAGCCGAGGCTGTCACTATGTGTTCTTAAATGTTACCAGAAGCCTAGACTTCTGTGAAAAGTACCAGTATGTTGTACCAGCACCGAAATCTGTGGAGGACATGGAGTGAGCAGCAATTCTTGGTGAGAATGCAGGCTGGCTGAGATGGCCCAGCTCCCCACCCAAGATGAAGTACCAACGTCCTTCTCCCATAAGCTGTATGTCACCCCAAATATAATGTACAAGCGTTTACATTTTGGGGGGGACTGTACTGCTGTTTGTCATTCTGACTATGAAAAGGTCTTATAACAAGAATCAACGCTCCTCCTGTCCCCCAGAGCAGCTGCGGCCTGGCAGCAAGGCCGGTTCTCCCCGACCTTGGCGACGACCCTCAGCCTCAGGCCCCAGCTCCCTCGCCGGTAGAACAGCGGTGCCTTCCATGACCTCTGAGCTCCTGAGCTGCTACATTCTATACTTCTGCATTTCTAAATGGCTTCTTCACACACGTACGGCGGCTCCTGTGTCCCCTCATATTTACCTTCCCAGCAGAAAGCCAGTCAGTGTGCAAGAATATAGTCTGGTCGTCCTAGAGTTGAACTGAAAATGGGTATCGGGCTATTTTAGTTCTTGGTTGTTTCTAGAAATTAAAGTTCTTTAAAATATCTGAATGCCTATCATTCCGTTACCTGGAAGCAACCGCTAATTTCACGTGCAAATCTTGTGTATTCTACATGGAATTCGGAGAGGTCTCAAAGGCAGCTCCAACTTAAATTTAATGGGGCCAAGATAAAGCCACTAAGCCCCATATTTCTCCTACTGCTTCTTTCTATTTAGATCTAATATTTTACTATCTTACCCGCAAACTACGTTAAAAAGATGACATCATCTGACGAGAGTCTTTAAGAACTGTGCTGTCAATTTCACTTTAAACCAAGACCTGTCACATCCGGAGACACCAGGCTGGAACGTTGTTACACAATAGTAACGCATTTGTTCTCATCATTACAGTAACTTACAGGCAGAATGCAATATTGTGAAAATATGCTAAGTCTCCATTCACAGTAGGCAATCAGCCTGCATATCCTAAGTACAGTTTAATCTCAAAACGCCAGTAGCTATTCTGAGCTGAAAGCAATGTCATCACCCCCAAATCTGCCACTCAAACAGCACTAACAGGTCAAAGGTCACTTGCCGTTTTCTTGAGCGAATCTGGAGGCTTCTAAGAAAGTGACCTCGCGATCTGCGTCCAGGTCCTTCTTGTTCCCACAGAGGATGATGACGATGTTCTGGCTTGCTAGCATTCTGGCATCTGTTAACCAATTAGTAAGCGCATTGTAGGTTTCGCGGCTGCATAATACAAGATTGTGAAAATAATACATGTATTTTATAACACTAGCAACTCTTTCCGGTCATTCACACTACTCACACTGCTTTCAAACACGCAGGGCAATGCTGGCAACCTTCACAGCGACTCAGACAGACAGACTGAACGACCCCAGTGTACACAGTGCCCCCGCCTTGGCTCTGTTGTTTCCAGAAAAACGAGACAGCAAATCAGGTATTCTGTCGTCTTCTGTGTGCCCAATCAAGGTGCAAAAGGAAACAAAGGTCCTTCGTTAGATTTACAAATATTTATTGAGCTTGTAGGATGTGAAACACAAGATCTAACAGGTAATTGTTGCCATCGAGCGATCACTCCGTGCGATGCGCTGGCACTTTGTCTCGTGGGAATTTATCGCGGCCTCTGTGACACAGACTCTGAGGCCCAGGGAGATTAATCAGGTTACCCAAAGTCACGGGGCAGCCAGTGACACAGCCAGGACGCGACCAGGTCTTTTCTCAGACCTGCCGTTCCCAGCCCTCACACAGCCAAGGACAGACGCCCCCTCCTGGCACCGTGACAGCCTCCTGACTCCGCACTGTAGCAGGCGGAGCCCCTCAGGACTTGGGCAAGTGGGGCAGTCTGGGCTGGGGGCCTCGTCCCCACTCAGGTGTGTGTCACAGAAGCCGGGTGATGCCCTCTAGTGGGGCCAGTTCCTACCCAGAAAGAGCCCCTGGGGGGCCGTTTAGATGACAGGATTCTAAGGCCCCGCAGCGAACACCGAGGCCAACACTGTCTGATGGGACCTTTGCCAGGACCGCCATGTTCTGTAACCTGCTCGGATGTGGCTCCCGAGCACCTCAAATGGGGCGGGCGAGACCAAGGAACTGCCTTTTTGCTGTTGTTTCACTGTGACATGTGGGTGATGGTGACACAGAGGGCAGTGCCGCCTTAGATCCTGACGAGTGTCCAGAGCTCTACACCACCCGGCGTGCCTGCCCAGTAGCCCACGAGTGCCGCAGTCACCACTGCCCGTTCTGCAGACCAGGACACTAGAGTCCAGGCAGCCGGGGCACCGTGCCGGAGGACATCACCCCACCAGCAGCCCAGCACTGAGACAGGCGGCCAGGCCATCTAAGCCCACAGCCTGTGCCCTCAACCTCGGTCAATGTCAAGTAGTTCCAATAATTTACCGCATGTGAAGCTTCACTTGGTGAACCTTAGGGAGAGTGTCAAAGCATCTTGTTGAGAAACACAATGATGCTTATCTAGGTAAATGCTGATGGAGATACTTCTTTACACGGCACAGCAGTGGCAGAGGCTGGTCCAAAGCCTCCAAGACCCCAAATGAAAGGGCCGAGGGGCTTCCCCACTCCCAGCTGGGCGGCCCCCTGCACACACAGCACACACTGCATGCAGATGTGCCTGGACCCGTCGCGGGCAGCTGGGGGCAGCCCGGCACCTCTTCCACTGGGGGCGTGTGTGTGTGGGGGAGTTTGGGGGGGTCTGCATTACCTGGTGATGTCATAAACGAGGAGAGCCCCGGCGGCACCTCTGTAGTAACTCCGGGTCACAGACCTGAAAGAGTTACAGCTTTTACTTTCAGCTAATCAAGGTCCTTCCCTGCTGAGCACCCTCTTCCGCACCAAAGCATCCATGTTTGCTCTGCAAACTGCAACGCAGGGGCAAATGTTGCTTTAAAAGAGACACGACTCAGCCCGGCTGATGTGGCTCAGTGGACTGAGTGCTGGCCTTCGAACCGAAAGGTCGCCAGTTGGACTCCCTGTCAGGGCACGTGCTAGTCGCCAGCTGGGGAACATGTGACAGGCAACCGATGGATGTTTCTCTTGCATATTGATGCTGTTTCTCTCCCTTTCTCCCTCCCTTCCCCTTAAAAAAAAAGTGACTCAAACACATGTAAACATACGTATGAGGAGCTTCTTCTGTCTGAAATCACGGCGCAGAAACGACAGGGAGGTGGGGACACTAGGCTGGGACAAGTACGTCCTCTAGAAGGAGGATGAAGGTCTTCCGCAGACCTCGTGAGTCCTCTGAGAACTCCCAAGGAGCGTGAGTCTTCTGCAGGCGGGAAAGGAGCCACCACGCACCCGAGGTGGCACCGAGCCCTGGGCAGTCCTACTCTGCTCCCTCTGGGACTTCTGATCACCCCCATTGCCCCCGCAGAGCGGCCCCGGCAAAGGGCGAAGGAGGCCCCCAGGTGGGAACCACGAGTCCAGAGCCCCGTGCCCTGTCCTCACCCCACCGCCCTCCTCTCCCATCGCAGCTGAGTCCCTCGGCGCTCTGGTCGGCCACACTCTGCAGGACTGTTCTCTTTTGCTTACACACTCTCTCCCCTGCATCATCAATCTCCCTCGTGTTCGTCTTTTCCCAATAACATCATAAAATTTGTACTGGGGTCTTTCATCTTAAAAAAAACAGGACACCCAGTTCTTTCAGCCACCGGACCATGGCTCTTCCTGTGCACAGAGCTCTCAGGAGCTGGCTTCACCAGCTGCCTCCTCCCTCTCACCTCCCACCTGGTGCCCATCTCCGCTCCTTGGCTGGAACAGCCGGTCGAGGTCACCTATCTTTGCGCGTCTGGACCCAGGGGCATTCCTGGTCTTCATCCCTTATGTCACTCTGCACTCTGGGACGCCTTCCTGGCCCAGCTTCTGCAGCCCCATCTACTGGCCTTCCTCCTCTCGCCAGCTGCGGCTTCTCCAACTCCAGAGCACTCTGACTCTGCCCTGGGTGTACCCCGGTCCCCCCGGGCTGAGTCCTCGGTTTTCTCTTACATGAATGGTCTCGGTTCAGATTTAACCTTCACCTCAGACTACATCTGGAAGCTCCAACTGTTGCCCCAGCACCTCCACGTGACCACCCGGGGAACAAGTCACACTTAAGGTTTGTAAAAGGCGAAAGATTTATACGATTTGAAGAGAAACCAGAGTATACACTTAAGGTTTGTAAGAAAGGCTCTGGTTCCTGCGCTCCAGGCCCTTCCTGGCGGGAGAGGGCAGAGCAGGTATTTAACCTGCCGGAAATCTCCTTAGCCCTGATTCTTCTCTCACTCCTCTCCACACTGGACCTACTGGCTGGGCCCTGTGCGGCCACATCGCACACTGTGCCTGTCTTCCCAGCACCATCCCCATCCCACGGCCTGGTCTTGGCCAGGACCTCTGCAGCTGCCCAGGGCTCCTGTCTCCGCGGCCACTGGTGTCCCCACAGCCACTGGTGTCCCTCACTCCATTCCCCAGAGCAGCGACTCCTCGTCAAAGCCTGTGTGGCCCACTGTGCTCAGTGGTGGACTTGAGTCCAGTCACCGGCCTCAGCCCTCACTGCCCACACGCCATGCCCCATGCATCCCTTCCATTCAGCGGTTTCTGAACCGCATCCTTTAGAATCAACTGGTAACAGCACACGCAGTGCTCTCCTAGGTTCTGTGAGTTGTTCCAATAATCCACCAAAGCCTTGTGGGGGGCGGTATGGAACCCCCTAAATCTGTAGTTTGCTGGGCAGAAGTGAGGGTGGCCTAGGCACCCCATTTGGGACTGGGGTCCATTAGTGGGGGCAGTCTTGTGGGATGGAGCCCTTACTCTGGGGGGGAAGCTGAAGCTGACTCCAGGTGGGGTCAGAACCGAACTGAATTGTGGGGCACCCAGTTGGTGTTGGAGAGTTGCGATAAACCCCACGTCTGGGGAAACCGCTGAACTTCCAGGGAAACCCAGGACTACCCACGGTTGCTTTACATGTCGAAAAGGCAGCCGTTTTTAAATTTGCTGTTTTAGCTTTACCTCCAGGGCAGGGTGTGAGGGAAGCCCCCTTTCTCCCATTATCAGGTTCACTACCACAGGGCACAGGCTGAGAGAGAGGGCAGCCAAGGGCAGCCAAGGGCAGCCGGGCCAGGATGGGAGGGGGGGCTGTTGGTGGGGGGAGGGGGCTCTTTTCCACACATATTAAGAGGCCCCTCCTTTTTCTATTTTAGCTTCAGCAGCCATCTAGTTTCCAGAAAAAGAAGTATCTAAGTTCTCCCCAAGATACCTTTAAAATTTATTTTACAACACTGTATCTTGATATATAGCTCCTTGCAGAAATTATTCAAGTATATAAATTTAAGCTTTAAGGTTACTGTTCTGAGGTATAAAGTGTCTTCCCGAAGGTTACTTAGGCCAAAGCAATACAAGTACGGAGTTTTAAAGTAAAGCACCGCTAAGAGGCTGGAAATGAAGCGCGGCTGTGTCCTGCCTGTTCTGAGTCCCGCCCCCACCGCCCCAAGGAGAGCGCTCTCCTTCAGAACTCCCTTTGTTCTTGGATGAATCACTCAATCATGTTGGTCAGGCACGTGCTAGGCAATGCTCTGGGCTCTGGGGAAAGAAACCCAAAACGCAAAAAATCCTTACTTTGAAGAATCTTATAGTTTCATTTTTCTGGTATTTGTTACTTCTAAAAATGCTCATCAATGATTTGAGTTATTAATTTTAGAGCTTGTCAGTTTCCTGCTTGGATAAAGGGCCTTCTGCTCACCTGCGCCCCCACGCCCACGCTGCCAGCTGGCAGCTTCAGCTCAGGAGGTCCCTGCATGACACTTCTGTTCTTGCCCAGGACGGTCCCCTGCCTGCTTGACCCCATCTTCCTCTTTCTGGGTCAAGTACAAGTTCCGGAAGTTTCTAAGATAACCTCCACCCGCCTTCTTGCATGTCTGAAGGCATTCTGATTTTACCTTCACACCTGAGTTTGGTTACACTTTGAATTTTGGATTGGAGAAGAGATTTCCATGCTGAGTGTTGAAGGCAACGCTTCAGTATCTTCTAGCTTCCAAATGATGGGTGACTTTTTCTTCGTGGAGTCTGTTTCTTCACCTTATCCCTCGTGCTCTGAAATTTCACAGGACATGCCATCGTCTGGACATCCTTCCCACTCACTTACTCGTAGTTGGGGTAAGGCAGGTGAATACATCTGGAATCATGACCCTTCAATGGAAAGTTTTCTTTGATTGCTTCCTCTGCCCCTGTCTTCTGGAACCCCTAGTGGCCAGGCACTGTAATTCCTGAATCAATTCTGCATGGTTTTTTTTTTTAATGTTGTCTGTCCCCTTTCATCTCAAATTTCTTGTTTAACTTCTAGATCACTACTCTATTTAATATAATTTTAATTGCTCTTTTAAAAATATAACTTTGCTCTCATTACTTGAATGCAATCTCTGTTCTTATTTCTGAGGATACTGTAGTTTTAGTGTTTCTTCCCGGAAAGTTGCTGTTTTCTTTACTTCGCGCTATTTTAGAAATGTTCTTTGAATGCCTGGTGGGCCTGGGACCTTTATATTCATGAGTGAGGAATGAAAACGTGCTCCGTGAGCAGCAATTTAAGTCGAGACTTCGACTCGGGGAGACCCCGCTGTAAGATGGATGGGCAGAGACTGGGCTGTTTTATTGGGGAAACGGAAATGTTAGTATCTTAAGACCTTCCTTCTGCAGCTGTTGTTTTTCTGTGGAGAGGACTCGTTTCTCCTTGAAACATATACTCCTGGCTCCTGGCAACTCTGGAAGCAGTGGGGGAAGAGGGTGAGGGTCCCAGACCTTCTGTTAGTCTCCCTCCTTCCAGCCCTTGCCTAACCCTGGCCCTCCTCTGTGCCTTCTGACCTGGAGCCAAGACCTCGTTTCAGCTCAGAGACCGAACCTCTCACTGTGCATGTGCCGTGAACACTTGGACCCTCCCTCCTGCAGAGCAGCTTCCAGGCCCTGACCCGTCCTGGGTCTGGTCAGGAAGGCGTGGCCTCCCCCACGACCAGCGCTCTCACATGCAGCTTCCTCTCCCTAAGTCAGTCACCACACTGACGTACCTCGAACATTTCTCTTCAAAATGTTTTAATCACAATTAAGCATTCTCCTTTTTTCATTAAAATTTTCTCAGTTATTTTACAGTCATTTCAGTGGGGCTTTGGAGGTGAGAAGACATAAAAGTCTAGTTGAATGCACATGTTTAACCAGTGCATCCAGATGAATGGTCGTGGCTAAAAATGGTTACAATACTTTTGAGGCAAACAATTATTGAGCATTTAGAAATACAACATGGACCTGACTAATGTCAATTAATCAGTGTATAATTAAGTGAAATGTTTGCAGTGCGAGTTAATATTATGTAACCGAATTCTGCAACTTGAATATCTGTTCTGTTTTGACTGTGTGTGTGTCCCAGCTGCCCACCTAAAGCACCGCCCTGCCTCTGCTCTAGTAGCTACAGCCCACGGAACACAGAACCGTGTCTGCAGTGACCCAGGGCCACCGCCGGGAGCACCAGTTCTGGTTGAGAGAATAATGCTGTGTGGGGTGTCCAGTGACCACAAGAACACACTCTATTAATGTAAAAAACAAAACCTCTTAATTAAGACATTTTAAAAAATTCTCTTTAAAAAGTGAAATATAGAAAACCTGTGTTATTACGTGGCCTTGTATCTCTAAGCACACTGTGGAATGTGCAACAGCACACCTGGATGGCCTCACTGGCTCTGTGAACAGACGAGCCCTGACATGTGGACACACTCGCTCAGGACAGACGCGAGTGGGTTCTCTGGCAAACTGATTTCTGTGGGGAGAAACTGACTTTCAGCTCGTCTTAAAGCTTCCAGAGGTGGAGTTTCTAACATCTGTGTGAGGGGGCTGGGGGACGGCACATATATTAAGAGAACATAATTGATTATTTCAAATGTGATGATCCAATATTTTTATTGAGTCAGAGAAAGAGCTACCTGAATCGTTCTTGGCCTGCTGTGTCCCATATCTGTAACTTTACGTATTTACCACCGACGTTTATTATCTTGGAACCGAACTCCACTCCTATGGTATGATTTGAGTCATCTTTGACTGAAAAAGAAAAAGAACAAGACATTTAATTAAGGACCATATGGAAACAGGCCGACTGACTTAAACAAGCAACACTCCAGTCCAGGGTAAAGCCATGGACAGTGTCCTTCACTGCAACCCCTCGTTTCTCTGGCGGGCAGCTGGCACTCGTTCACTGTTTTAAACACAACATGCACAGCCCCTGTCCTCAGAGACAATAAAGCTTTTCCTCAAAACCCCTAAAACAAACCCCACACAGTGAAACCTGGGTTTGGACCTGGTCACGATAAACGAGAGCCAGGCGCCCCATCCCCTGTGGCAGTGCTCCAAACGGAGACCCCTGGTGCCACCAGGGACAGATCTCCAACTCCGTCACTGGTGAGGGAGTGAGGGTTTCAACTAGCTGAATGGAGAAATATTCTAAAGAAATACAAGGGAGCCAAAAGTCCTCAAAAGAAACTTGGAGACCAGAGATTAAGAGGAAAAGAGTAAACAAAACAAAAATCAAACGTCCAGAACGAGACCTGAGGCATACTGTAGCTGTTGAGGTGTCGGGGAGTTGAGTGTTGTGTGGCAATAGCTTGGAAGGGGCTTGTTGGAGAAATCCACACTATTGGTGCGAATGGGGAGGGAGGCAGGCGGCATCGGCTTGCCGAGCCCAGCTGCAGCGTGCTGTCTGCAGAGGAAGAGCTGCGAGGTTGAAAGGACAAGCTAAAAGCTCACGGGCCTGCACAGTCCCCTGACAGCTTACACCCCCATTGAGAGACACGCCACTGCACCTCCAATCAGGGATGCCATCTGCCTGGCGGGCTCACTGTTTCCTGGGGGTGCAGGGGATAAAAGGTTAATGCCGACCACACCGGCTGGCCTCAGGCCCGGGCAGTGCAGAGCTAACTGGCACGGACGTTTCACTAGAATTCAGCCACCAGGCAAAGCTGAGCGAGAGGGTACTCTGAGAAGATGTGCATGAAACCACGACTTCACGTCACTCACATTTTTTTTCAATGAACTGGTGAAGTAAGCAAGACTTGCCGGTTCCTGCATTTCCAATAACCAAGAACTTAAACAAAAAATCTGAAAAACAAAAGAGACCATGAAAAATAATTTTAAAACAGGTGCTATACATTTATTCTTAGATTACAATCATAAAGGTTAATGAAATCTTATCTGTTAATGTAACAAAATGCAGTACCGATACTTTGTGAAAACAACAAGGAACACGCTGACTCACCTTCTCACAGTTTTGGTATTTGGCTCACACGGTAGTTCAGTGGTTTTTAAACCGTGCTTTTGGGACAACGTCCTTTGTTGCTGGAAGCTTGAAAACTACTCTTGTAATAAATAGAATCCCTTTGCTAGCCACTGTTCAAAGAAATATGAATATGTATGATAAGCAAAAACACCGGTGGACTTGTTTTGGGGCTTTGAGAAGTCCATTCCCTTCCTTTTGTTCTTTTAAAAACAGGTATGAAGAAATCATACCTGTTAATGAAGAAACCAATGAAACTGAAAACGGAAACACAAAAGAGAAAAAAATCCATGAAAAGCAGCGCAGGCTCCATAGGAACTGACAAACCAAGCACCAGTGTGCTGGGCCCAGGGGTCTGGGGCTGCACGGAGGACGCGGATGCAGAATGGAGACACAGACCTGCTTGTGCCAGGCCCCGGACCCCACACACTTGACCTGGGCGGTACTGGACAGCTGGTGGGAGGGGCAGCCCCACACCGCAGGGGACCGTCCTGACAAGGTGCCCAGACGGGGAACAGGGCCTCAGAGAGGGACTTAGGTGTCTGGGTGGTGTCGCTCAGCAGTCTGGTGGGCGTTGGCGGGTGGAGGACTTGTCTCGTGAGAGGGTACCGGATGGTGGATGCAGTGTCACGGGGGACTCAGAGCAGGCCGGCTACAGACAGCTAACGCGTGCCTATTTGGGTGGCGTTTAACAGCTGAGTGGGTGAGAACGGGAGTCTGGTGCTGGCTGCTGTGCACCAACGTCCCACCCTGCCGGGAAGAAGGAAACAGCGTGGGGGCCGACACGCAGGGGCCATCCTTCACCCACGTGTGTACGAGGACTGACATGGAAACGGGGGGGGGGGGAGACACCAACAGCCAATGCCAGGGATGAAACAGGCACATCGCCACGTCGAGAGGGCAACAAACAACGACAGGAACAAGTCAACACATGAAACTGCACGACTGGATGAAAGGGGCCGATTCTTCAAAGACGCAACGTACAACCACTCACCCAACATCAAACAGATAATTGCAGAGCCCTAGAACTAGAAAAAAAACTGAATTTGTAAGTTTAAAACAAGAAGAGTTTCACTGGAGAGTTCTACCAAACACGAAGGAGATTCAGCATCAATCCACACGACCTCTCTGAGAAAACGGAAGAAAGGAAAACTTTCCCAAGATACTTTATAAAGCTGTTTTTACCTTCACACCAAAACTGGAAAAAGACAAACAGAATAAAAACTACAGAATAATATCCCTTATGAGTATGTAATAAAATATTAGCAAACTGGATTCAGTAATATATATATATATATAATATAAAATTATACACTGGCCAAATGGACTTTATTTCAGGGATCAAAGTCTAAAGTATTTGAAAATCAATCAATATACTTACACTAGAAATAGGTGAAAGGAAAAAAAAATCACATGATCATATCAGATAATTATTATCTGCATCAGTCGGCTTTTTCACAAAAAACCAACAGTCACCCATGACAGAAACTCTCCGAAACGAGAACAGAGGAGGCACCTCTTTGACTTGATACTGAGTGTCTAAAAATCCTGCAGCTGACCTTGTTGGTGCAAGACTGCTCTGCCCCTGAGACCAGGAGCACAGTGAGGAGGCGACCCTCACCTCTCCCACTCCGGGTCCTGCAGGGAGGTCCAGCCAGCGCAGTTAGGCATGAAAAAGAAACAAAGGCTTACAGATCAAAAAGGGAGAAGTAAAATGCTCCCTACTAGCAGACATGACTGTCTCCATAGAACATCCAAGGAATCTTAAAAAAAAAAAAAAAGCCCTCCCCCAACCAATGCATGAGTTCAGCAAGGCCAAGGTAAATATGCAAAGGACTCTGCGTTAAAAACTACAAAATACCGATGAAACAAAAGAAAACCTCAGTAAATGAAGACACATCTTGTGTTCATGGATTAGAAGGCTAGACTTAGTAAAGATGTCAGCTCTTCCCAAATTGATACATATGTTTAATCAAGCCCCTATTAGAATGCTATCAATACTTTTTGGTCGATACAGACAAGATTATTCTAAAAGTTGAATGGAAAGACAAGGAAACTAGGAATAACTAAAACAATTTTGAAAAATAAGAATAAAGTGGAAGGAACGACTTTACCTGATTTGAATGCAGCGACAGTTTTCACAACTCTGTGTATTATCGGAAGGGAGGGAGACCCACAGATCAGTGGAACAGAACAAAGAACTAAAAAAATGGACAGACACTAATCTATACAATCAATTTCGAAAGTGCAAAAACAATTTAATGGAGGAAAGTTAGCTTTTTAGCAAATGGTGCTGAAGCAAGTGATCATCCATAATAGGGGAAAATGACCTAAGACCTAAGTCTCATATCTTAAGAAGAAAAATTAATTCAAAATAAGTCACTGACTTAAAAATAAAGCAACACTTTAAAACTTTTAAGAAAAATATAAAAGCTTGAGAAACTATGGCTAATCAAAGGGTTCTTAGATTTCACACACACCCCAAATCCAGAAGGGGAAAAATTGATAAAATGGTTTTCATCAAAACCCAAACCTCTGCATTGTAGAAAACTTTGTTAAGGCCATGAAAAGACAAACTGCAGACCGGGAAAATGATTTGCAAGACACATAACCAGCAAAGGGCTAGTGGCATCTACAATATATACATTTAAAAAAACTCTCAAAAGTCCACAGGAAAAAAAAATCAAATTTGGACATAAGACACGAAGAGACATTTCACCGAAAAGGATATACAAATGGCAAATAAGCACAGGAACACATTTTTAACATCATTAGGTAATGATTAGGGAAATGCAAATTAAAGCCACGTGAGCACCACTGCGCACCTATCGCAGCGTTCACCCAGAAAGCAGCGCCACCGCGAGGCTGGGAGGACGCGCACACTCGGGAGCGCTCACGCTCCGCGGCTGGAGACGTAACATGGCAGAGCTACTCTGTTAAACAGTTCAGAAGTTTCTCAAAAACTAAACGCGCAGCTCCCAGGGACTGCACCCCTGGCATCTGCGCCAGAAAACGGAAGGCCTGTGTTTATAAGAAACCCTGCCCGCGAACGCTGACAGCAGCTGTACCTGTAAAAGCCCGAGCCCGGCACCGACACAGTCTGCGGCCGGTGGAGGGTTAACCTCAGGACACCGCTCAGCGGGGAAAGGCACAGGCCGCTGGGGTGTGCCCCAGCCTGGCTGAATCTCCAGAGAACGATGCCGAGGGAAAAAGTCCGTCCTGAAAGGTACTCCCGGCGTGACTGCACTCATGTAACGCTCTCGCAGAGACGCGTGGTGGCGGTGAAGAACGGGTCGGTGGTTGCCGGGGAGCTAAGGGGGGCGGGGGCGGGAAGGAAGAGTGTGCGCCCGTGATGGGGGCATGGGACGACCCCTGTGGTGACAGAGAGGTGCTGTGTCTGCAGCTGTGCGGACCTCGGGGTCCTGGAGGTGAGATCTTATGCGAGTTTCCTGGATGCCACCGCTGGGGAGAATGGGGTAAAGGGTCCAGGAGATCTCCATTGTTTTCCTGAAAACCGACTGTGCATCTATCTCAAAACTAAAAGTTTTCTAAAAAATAAAGTAGGCAATGTCATCAGGTAACAACCCCCAATTTACTACGCAGGGTCCTGAACTGAAGGAAGCTCCCACAGACGTGCTTCCAAGAAGGAAGGGGCATCAGCTAAGAATCCGAGCCTCTCCTGTCGGGAGACGTTCGTGTCCGGCCAACACGCACAGAAGCCAAGGACCAAGAGGGAATACCCCGTGCAGGCAGGAAGTACCAGCTCTACGGGGAGTTTCAGTGAACACACGGGGACTCGCCTGCCCCTGAGCTCCAGGAGAGGGAGCCCCGGGCAGGGAGCCCAGACCTGGAGGCCAGGGGAGCAGCCTGGAGCTCTGTGCTCAGTGCTCCAGGTTTGCTGGTTTCTCACAACAGTGGGCCTCTCACACCGCACCCCACGTCCATCTGCATTAACTTTACCAACTAATCTGGATTTTCCTTCTTTTTCTTTCTTTGCTTGAACTTGAATGACAAATTGCATGTGCAAGTGTTTTAAATGTTGAGTGCACAGTACATGACAAAGTAATTGACAAAGGGAAAATGCCCAGTTAGGATGTATAATTAAACTAGTTAAATAATCATGTCTACTTTTGATGTGGTTTTATTACACTGAATGTTAATTTGTGGGCTCAAAATCACAGACATTTTTTGCATCCAATTTCTGATAATTATACTCACCCGATGAGGGTTTCATCAGAACGAATTAAGCTTGAGGTAGGGAAAAGATCATAACCCAAAAGAGGAAATCTAAAATGGGTATATGCTACTAATGTGCTTTTAAAATTAAATGAGATAATAGGGACAGTATGAAATGATTAGAAATCGGTCTTGAGCAAATGTCAGCCATTCAGGAAGACAAACACCGATCGGGAGAGAAGAGACTATCGCACGGAGGTAGCTGACTAAGCCAAAGGATTAACTCTAGCAGAAGCCTCGCTCGGAAAGTCCTGCCCCATTTTTACAGTCTTCTCAGCAGCCTCTCAGTTCCCTGAGCAGCGCAGGTTTTGAAAAGCATGAAGCAGGACTGCGAGCTACAAGCACAAGGACACAACGGCCCACTCGGACAGCAGGAAACCAGTCGGAAAGGGCACAGCGTGTTTGTTCAACAGCGACAGTCCATCCTGACCTTGGGTGCTCAGGCAAATGCAGGCCCAGTGAGCAGACAAGATGACCTTGGCCCTCCCACCCTCTCCCACAGGCAGTGGTTCTGCTTTTAGGTTTCCAAAGGTCAGAAAGGAAGCAAAGGTGGGCGGCCCTGGGTGCGGGGCCAGTGGGGTCATCTGAG